GGATCTACGTTTGTCACAGACCATGGATCTACGTTTGGCACAGACGATGGATCTACGTTTGGCACAGACCATAGATCTACGTTTGTCATAGACCATGGATCTACGTTTGGCACAGACTATGGATCTATGTTTGTNATGGCACAGACCATGGATCTACGTTTGTCACAGACCATGGATCGATCACTGAACCTATATAGCTAGAAGTCATTTGAAAAATACAGTGTTAGTTGACTTTTTATGAATGGAGAAATAAAAAAGGTAGTAATATAAAGATGATAAACAGTTTATCATGTAGGCCACTTCATTCATTTCATGTGATAGGAAAATTGTTCTCAAAACAAACACTGAAAACACAATGTGATAATCTATATACAATGTATACTGATGTTGTATGTGAAATGGCCAGCATGTCAGATAACATCATGTAGACGTAACATATGATTACAGTGAGCATGTATTCAAGATCTTCCATTATATAATATGTAAATTATGCCAGTACAATAATATTTTTCGGGCCCTTTGAATTTGTTGTAATCATAACAAACCATATTTAAAAGCCTCTCTTATTTAAATTCCCTTTTCAATATTGCATATACCTATGGTATATTTATTTGTTGCCTCATGTGTATTTACCAATGCCAGTCGTTTACAGAGACTTTTGTAGGAACCCCTCTTGCCGATAGCTGCCTGTACTCCGGCCGTGACTTTGTTGAGAGGCAGGGCCTGAGGCTCTTGATCCGTCAGTATCCCCAGACGCTTCAGGTTATAGCAGGTTAACATATGCTCATACCCATAACTCTGTAATAAAACACCATTGTGTGTTCATACCAGTACAGGAAGTAAAACACAACAGGAAGTGTACAATTAACACCTAAACAGAGTAGTATTGAAACAAGAAGTAAGAATAGGAAGGAAAACTTATTAAATGATGTTATAGTTAAACTTCAATGTTTCGAATTTTGCGGGACTATCAGGAAACATCGAAACTTTGACTCACGAATGTTGAACATCAAGCATGTTTGGGATTGTGTTAATACTGCATAAGACCAAATGTAACTGTTAAAACTAGAAATATGTCAGAATGACAGTCACCCCATCATTCTGTATGATCATTTTCCGATAAATCATTGACCAAGCTACAACAGATATATTTCCACCTGTCAATCAAAATGGTAAACAATGACCAGATGTAAATACATACATGCTGTTCAGGTAGTCATGCCAACACATGGAATTAATAAGAAAGCATGTTGCAAATATAACGTAAGCGTTGACCGACACCTCGAATATGGGGAGATCTGCGCGCTGACACGGTCACCTGGCATTGGCAGAACAGGTAATTGGAATATAACAATGTTGTTTTCACAACAATAACTTTAAGAAAAGATTCAATCTTATATACGGATAAATCTTCTACTATTTTTTGTTATGAAATAAACTTTTCCAAGTAGTTTTCTGATCGTCTGCAAATCCGACTGAATCGATCATCAATATCGGCAGAGTGTAATACGCTAAAAGGCAGTCACTCAAACAGGTCAGACGAGGACCGCCAACAGCCGAATTCGCGAGGCATGAAGAACACCAAACAATTGTGATTTCAGCAATTCTCCTTTGAAAAGAAAAGATCGGAATGTATTTGGCTGTTTTGAACCTGTTAATATTTATTTTTCAAACTCAAACTTTTATCATTATCGTTTCAATTTGCATGGATGTCATCTTGTAAATTCCTGCTGGTTAATAGTATCTCGCGACCTTGACTCTTTGCGGTACACAAACTTGCTAACTTCGCCATTTTACCCACTTGCTAACTTCGCTACTTTACCAAAGTCGTTTTGACACATTCCTACTGTCAAGATTGAAGAGTTCAGCATGATTTTACCCAAGAACAACATTTTAACCCCAGAGTGACAAATTCACAACATAACGTCCCGAAAAGTTGGGCCTGCTTTACTCGAGTTTATCTATCTGATTCTATCGTATAATATGACTTCAACTTGCAACTTTTTGTAATTGTTAAATTGGCAATGCAATCAGCGATTATTCAACGAAATTTAGCAGTTTATTGCTGCGAGCATATTTCAAAACATTTCCGAAAATCCTCGAAAAATTTACGATAAATGGTCGCGACCAAGAACTGGTTTTGGGCTGTTCTTGAGTATCGTGTACACCCCTTTCTTGACACTTCATTTTTCCTTAAAAAAGTATGCACTATATGCAAATATTAACGGTAGTGGTTGGTCAGACATTAAATATCTAAATCAATCAATAGCAATTTATAATACGACAGTTTACCCCTTCAGGAACCTCAAAGGTGCCTCATTCATACTCGGAACATCTTTAGGTTATATGTAATTCCCTTGTGAAATTTGGAATGTCTTTAGGTTTTATGCTATTCCTGTTTAAAAAGGAAATTGATATCTGAGTTATCCAAGAGCTTGTAATTAGCACCTGGTATATTCCGACAGAAGCACACACTTAACAGCCCATGCNACTTCATTTTTCCTTAAAAAAGTATGCACTATATGCAAATATTAACGGTAGTGGTTGGTCAGACATTAAATATCTAAATCAATCAATAGCAATTTATAATACGACAGTTTACCCCTTCAGGAACCTCAAAGGTGCCTCATTCATACTCGGAACATCTTTAGGTTATATGTAATTCCCTTGTGAAATTTGGAATGTCTTTAGGTTTTATGCTATTCCTGTTTAAAAAGGAAATTGATATCTGAGTTATCCAAGAGCTTGTAATTAGCACCTGGTATATTCCGACAGAAGCACACACTTAACAGCCCATGCCCAACAGAGGTCAAAATCTGGGACTGAAACCAAAATTAATAGTCCCCACTGGGGTTCCTCCAGAGAGGAGTAAAAATAATTTGAAATCTATGAAAATTTATTTAATACAATTAGAAAATATGTTTCATGTATTCATACACTGCATGTTTTAGAGTTAAAATGACCCTGGGATATTGTAATGTTCTTATACAGGTTATTGTTTTACTTCAATTTATTAGCTGTAATAATTTACAACCTATCAAACCTTAATTGTAGTTCGAAACAGAGCGAAATTTGACTCATTAACATTTTAATCATAAAAAATTTCAGGAGAGTTATATAAGGAAAACCTTTCCAGACTTTGCTATAAGTTTAACATATCCAGAAATTCAAATCTTCCAAGTTCGATTTATAGAAGTTGGACTGTTTATTAATTTAGATACGAAAAACAATAGCTGCTATAAATTCCATTAACTTAATTAAATTACTCAAACATTTTACCAATTAATGAAGGATTTTTTTTCCATTAGAAATATGTCTGAAATATATAATCTCACGTATAGATTTAAACACTTGTTGGTGATCGAGTATATATATGATAATATATGGCCCAGACAATTTTATGGATTGACAGAACGAGTGAAAACCTGTAGTCCCCTCTGGTAGTACTTGTAGGTAACAAATAAGGCAGTGGGTTAAACTTAACTAATACTTACATGTAAAAACTGTGTCTTGAGTGACTTAAACTCCTTACTGGGGATTCCGTCTTGTGTCATTGACAACAGACACAGAAGTCTCAAGGTCTGAGTAATGTTATGCTGTAAAACAAAGTAAACCCTGACATCTCTGTTTAATTCAGAGGCTCAATACACAGACTTAATTCAGTGGCTCAATACACAGACTTAATTCAGTGGCTCAATCCCCAGACTTAATTCAGTGGCTCAATACCCAGACTTAATTCAGTGGCTCAATACCCAGACTTAATTCAGTGGCTCAATACCCAGACTTAATTCAGTGGCTCAATGCACAGACTTAATTCAGTGGCTCAATCCCCAGACTTAATTCAGTGGCTCAATCCACAGACTTAATTCAGTGGCTCAATACGCAGACTTAATTTAGAGGCTCAATACGCAGACTTAATTCAGTGGCTCAATACACAGACTTAATTCAGTGGCTCAATACACAGACTTAATTCAGTGGCTCAATTAACAGACTTAATTCAGTGGCTCAGTTAATACATAGACTTAATTCAGTGGCTCAATACACAGACTTAATTTAGAGGCTCAATACACAGACTTAATTCAGTGGCTCAAGACACAGACTTAATTCAGTGGCTCAATACACAGACTTGATTCAGTGGCTCAATTAACAGACTTAATTCAGTGGATCAGTTAATACATAGACTTAATTCAGTGGCTCAATACACAGACTTAAGTTAGAGGCTCAATACACAGACTTAATTCAGTGGCTCAATTAATACACAGACTTAATTCAGTGGCTCAATACACAGCCTTAATTCAGTGGCTCAATACACAGACTTAATTTAGAGGCTCAATACACAGACTATCAGTTATAAATTGGTGCAGTGTTTTGGGAGAAGTAGTGTGAACAATGTTTTAATCTAAGGAGAATAACTCCATTAAGTGGGGAAAATATACTTTATTCATATCCCCTAAATGTAACTTTTATGCGTACCATGTAAAATTGAAATCCGTGCAGCACCTTGGGATGAACTCTAAGTGATTAAGTCATTAAGCAAAGTGACAATTTTTGTGATTTTCTTTAGTAATTTATATGAATTAACCACATTTTAAGGACAAATGTGATTAAATGTTTTTAAAACCTGATTTTGATATGTAATGCTTTTGTGGTGTTGACCTTTTTGTCTTTAGCATCTAAAGTTTGCTGGGTACTTAGTTTGTTGGTCTTTTCATTCAAAACTGTGACAGAAATTACTGTTAATCCAAAGATATAAAGACGGACAGTAAAGACAAAAGAATAGTTTATATCCAGCTGTGCTGAACATCATTTCCCAAATGTCTACATATCACTCCACTGTCTCTGCCACTCAAATTTGTTTGTCACTCAGATATCACCCTCCACCCAAAGCAATACCAGCAGGTTGTCAGAACCCTTCCGTATGAGACTTACCTGTTTGTTAATGAGTTCCTCTATGTAATTGATGTTGTCCTTCAACCCAGAACCCTCCAGCATGGCTGTAAAAAGAGTGTACGAAGGTAACATCAAAATACATCCATTTATCAATACCAGGGAGTTTTTGTTGCTTTTTAATTTTCACCTTTTTCGCCCTCTGAAATCAGGGTGAATTTATCATTGGAGCAAATGTTTTTGTAATATAAACAGCTTAATACACATGGTAAGTAAATGTGTGTGGGGAGTTTGATATTGGGAGAAACGGATTTTACCGTCGAAAGGCGAAAAATTTGATTTGACAAAAATTTCCCGGAATACAGTAGTACACAATACACATATTATTATTATAGTAAGTGACACTAAATGTGTTTTGAACCATATAATGTTTCTTTATCATTCTCCCAAATTCTGCTACCATATAATAAAAGTATTGAGTCACATGACTTTTTATAAATAATATAGCTGTTTTATTATCAAATAATTTCACTATCTATCCTACTATAGATTACTTGTGATTAATAACACCAAGTAGATGTGCATGTTTATCAATAAATGTTATATTAAGAGCATTTAGTTATTCTTCAAACCCTAAAAGTTTTGGCCATATGATTATCTCCCTTCCTCTACTTTTTACTGTGACTTACCTCCCAGCTGCAGTCATCACAGTGACTACATTTACCACTCTGATATCTAAAAGTGTTATTTTGGTTCTACCAACTGACAGAGAATAAGATGAGATAAAAGAGTAACAAACAACATGTGGGTGAAACAGATCACTACAGACAAGTTGTCTCTTACAGTGTTCTGCTTGTAGAATCTCCTGGAAGTCTCCTTTTGTCTTCTTACCAAGTATCACTTCACATGCCCCAATATCTGTAACCCAAATAACAATGTACAGGAAAAGGAATGAAATTGATTACATTTATGTTTCCCACATTTTAAATTCATTTTCATATTTTCTTTTTTGTTGTCAAATGTTCAGGGCAATCAAGGCTCATTTTTTCTTCTCAGTTGATGTTTTGAGAACATGTTTGTCACACATGAATGCTATTGATCCTCATGTGTTTCAGAGTACAATTTAACAACATTAAATGGAGCAACAGCTTTGTAGTCATACAAAGTAAAATTCTCTCAGTCCTCCTTTAACTTACGATGTGCTAAAACTGCCTTCTGATTTTTCAGATTTTTTAACTCGTTAGCCACATAATTCTTCATGTCACCGACAGATTTCAGTGTGTGTCGTTTCTGAAACAGATAACAGATCACATGGTTTAAATTGAATGATTAATTTAATGGGTAAAAGGCTACTTAATGAGGGTTTCAGCTACATTGTGGAATAGCTTATCATCTAAAATTAGAAAGTCAAATACCCTGGCCAAGTTCAAGAGGGACATCAAAACTCACCTCTTCACATCTGCATTTTAGAATCTTTGCAAAGACGTTATGTAAATACCACTCTTTTATTTGTTCAATTATGTGCACATTGCTTGCTTAAATGTATAAGTGATTGTAAGCCTTTGTTTTTTGTTTTCACAATTATAACCATTACTATTATCCATATGTTGTAAAGCGCTTTAGAGTAATTTTACAAATTATATAAGGCGCTATAAAAATGTTGTATATTATCTATTATTTATTATTATTATTAATGTTAAGTGAAGAATTAAGCAATTTGTTTCAAATTACATACAAAATATCATTCAGTGCTTGTAGGAAGTTCATGTTTTCCTGTTCTTTGTTGTTGTTTTGATATATAATATTTAATTGTCTACAGTATGTGCAATATTCTCTTGATAATGATTTGATGACAAGAAAATCCCAATAAAATATGATAACCAACATTTTTTGTTTCAGACTGCTTTTTCACTCATTGTTATTTGTGTGCATGATAGAACTGTCAAGCTAGAAATAGGGATAGGAAATTCACTACAATATTACACCTGTGGGTAACGTCACATGATAGAGCTGTCAAGCTAGAAATAGGGATAGGAAATTCACTACAATATTACACCTGTGGGTAACGTCACAACGGAGGAACATTGGTGGGAAAATTCTACTGGAAGAAGGCTGAAATTGCCAATGTGCTGAAATTGAAAACTAAAACATTTTATTAACTGGTTAATTCCATCGGATTGACTTTTGCTCATAAATTAAACTAGAATTTGGCATCAGCAAATTAGGATAATAATATGCTTAATATCACTACCCACATATTATTTGTCCAAACACTCAAGGAAGAAGTTGACAATTTCCTAATGGTAGCTAATCAAAACGATTTTCATAGTTTCTGAGATCTGAGTTAGTTCTGGCAAATGAGATAAGACAAAATACTTTACCATGCCCTGGGATGTAGAATAGGAAAATTCCATGCCAAGGAGTTCATGGTCAAAATCCTCCATAAAAGCCTTGTATTTACCCCATCTAAAACCCCTTAAATGGAATTCTCCTGTATTACCCATTGACATCTTGAAAAGATCTCATATTATTTCAGGACACATTGTTATGCGCTAGGTTAGTTTCTGTCAACATCAGTTCAAGCTTGGTCTGTTTTCTGGTTAGCATCACCCTTCATATGTTCAATAGTCAAATTAATATTTATACATGTAAGTGCAGTTTAACTAAATATCTGTCAATAGTCAAATTAATATTTCTACATGTAAGTGCAGTTTAACTAAATATCTGTTAATAGTCAAATTAATATTTATACATGTAAGTCCAGTTTAACTAAATATCTGTCAATAGTCAAATTAATATTTATACATGTAAGTGCAGTTTAACTAAATATCTGTTAATAGTCAAATTAATATTTATACATGTAAGTCCAGTTTAACTAAATATCTGTCAATAGTCAAATTAATATTAATACATATAAGTGCAGTTTAACTAAATATCTGTCAATAGTCAAATTAATATTTCTACATGTAAGTGCAGTTTAACTAAATATCTGTCAATAGTCAAATTAATATTTCTACATGTAAGTGCAGTTTAACTAAATATCTGTTAATAGTCAAATTAATATTTATACATGTAAGTGCAGTTTAACTAAATATCCGTCAATAGTCAAATTAATATTAATACATGTAATTGCAGTTTAACTAAATATCTGTCAATAGTCAAATTAATATTTATACATGTAAGTGCAGTTTAACTAAATATCTGTTAATAGTCAAATTAATATTTATACATGTAAGTCCAGTTTAACTAAATATCTGTCAATAGTCAAATTAATATTAATACATATAAGTGCAGTTTAACTAAATATCTGTCAATAGTCACATTAATAGTTATACATGTAAGTGCAGTTTAACTAAATATCTGTTAATAGTCAAATTAATATTTATACATGTAAGTCCAGTTTAACTAAATATCTGTCAATAGTCAAATTAATATTAATACATGCAATTGCAGTTTAACTAAATATCTGTCAATAGTCAAATTAATATTAATACATATAAGTGCAGTTTAACTAAATATCTGTCAATAGTCAAATTAATATTAATACATGTAATTGCAGTTTAACTAAATATCTGTCAATAGTCAAATTAATATTTCTACATGTAAGTGCAGTTTAACTAAATATCTGTCAATAGTCAAATTAATATTAATACATGTAATTGCAGTTTAACTAAATATCTGTCAATAGTCAAATTAATATTTCTACATGTAAGTGCAGTTTAACTAAATATCTGTTAATAGTCAAATTAATATTTATACATGTAAGTCCAGTTTAACTAAATATCTGTCAATAGTCAAATTAATATTAATACATATAAGTGCAGTTTAACTAAATATCTGTCAATAGTCAAATTAATAGTTATACATGTAAGTGCAGTTTAACTAAATATCTGTCTTCTTCAACTTCGCCTTAAAAACATTTTGCATTTCCCTTTAATATGCGAAATTTGAAATATGCAGAAATGGGGCTTTAAATAAGGTTTTAACAAATGAACTTGTTTTCAATTACAGTGGGAAAGGACTATGTATGGTTTTTGGCCTTTTTTGGCCCCCAAATCCATCAAAATAAAAAATCTGCAATAGAACTTTCAAACGAATGTTTCTTAAATTTTGAATACTTCCCCACTACTATTATGTAAATATTTTGGCTGCCATGGTAACCAGGTCATATTTGCATGAATTATTGAAATTTGATTATTCAGTCAATTTTGACAGGTTTTAACCTAGTTTTTCTCTTAGCTACCATATATAGAGCGCACTCTTGAACAAACTTTATATTTCTCCTAAAGATGTATTACAGGTGCCTACACATTATCCTTTGATATTAAATTTGTTCAAGCATGCGCTCTATAGTTTCTAGGAGAAAAACTATGCAATCATTTTTTTCTAATTTATGCAAATCTAAACTTGTTACCATGGCAACAATAATTAGAAATATAAATAAATATTTTCATAATAGTATTTAGGAAGTATTCGAAATTAAAGAAACCGTAATTTCAAAGTTCATTTAAAGGTTTTGAATTTTGATGCATTTGTGGGCCAAAACAGGCCCAAACCATGCATAGTCCTTTCTTTAAGAAGTACTCACATCAAAATCAGACTGCAGCGATTTTGCCTTGTTGCTCAGGTAGGAAAAAACATGGGAAAAATGGCGGTTTCTTACTTCTTCAAATATCTGGAAATCAAAACAGAACATGAAAGAGCAAATTAAAGCACACATAAGTATGAAATGTTCCAGTCAGTAATCTGTCTTTTTTAGCAATTTTATTAACTATTGCAAGATCTTAATCAACTTGATGTGAGATCAATAACTTGTAAATGAACAATTTAAGTTTGAAAACTGAGTATTGTAAATGACATGCATAACTGTTTGAAGTATACATGTGAAACAGTAGACACATGTACATGTATTCACAATAAGAGGCCCAATAGGCCTGCATCTCTCACCTGGTATTAATCTCACACTTGTAACCTTAAAAGCGATCTAAAATAAAGCTACAGGCAGAATATCAGTATTTACAACTATAAGTCATTCAAAAGAATCTGTTAAAAGTTTTAAAACATTTGACCTCTGTGACCTTGAAAGATGAACAAGGTCATTAGGTTGAACAAACTTTATAGCCCTTTATCTCAGCATGTAACTAACAAAATATCACCACCCTAGACCTTTTGTTTATTGAGATTAGGTAATCTAATTGTTTAAACATATTTGACTTAATGTCACTTTGAAAGTGGGTCAAGGTCATTTAAATGGAAAAAGCTTGATAGTCCTTTATTCAAGCACGCTACTTACCAAATATCAACANGCATACACATGTTTAAAATACCTTCTTATGAAATATACCGATTCAAATTTTGCTGAAATTCACTCCCTAAGAGTAAAAATTATAATTATATTAAAGAAATCCTAAATCGTCACCTGACAGTCTAAAACTCCCAACTGATCCAGATCAGTGATGTAATTTTACCGCACACGCGTCATCAACAAGGCCAAATGTAAACATCGCGGGGAAAGAAAAAGATGCATGCAAAAGTCATGAGAGGCATGAGGTATCAATACCGTTTTATATAACAACAACATATAGGTAGGAATACTATACAGGACCTTTGAAAACAATTATTTACGTATAGTATTGCTGTCTTGTCCGCTAGTTGAGTCCAACATGGCACATGACGGCGTGCTATTGTTGTTATCTTCACTGCCTCACTTTCGAAACAACCACGTGACATATATAAATAGATTCCCCGAGAGTTCAGTGGTCAAAACTGGACATTGCAAGCAGAACTCGACCATCATATTGCCGTGGTATAACTTTTGGAAGACCAGAGAACGCATTTAGACCCATTTATTTTGACTTTTTTCCCCCCGACCAGCCCCTTTGAAGTTTTAAACATATTTGACCCCTGTGACCTTGAATATGAGTGAAGGTCAATCATTTAAATAAACTTGGTAGCCTTTTATCCTAGCATGCTACTGGCCAGATATCATCGTCCTGCACCTTTTGGTTATTCAGAAAAGGTTGCTTAAAGATTTTTATATAGTTTACTCCTGTGACCTTGAATATAAGTCAAGGTTATTCATTTTAGCAAACTTGGTAGCCCTTGATCTAAGCATGCTAATGGCCAAATATCAACATTCTGGGCCTCATGGTTATTCATCAGAAGAAGTTGTTTAAAAAGATTTTAAACATATTTGACCCCTGTGACCTTGAATATAATTCAAGGTCATTAATTTGAACAAACTTGGTAGCCCTTTATCCTAGCATACAACTGGCCAAATATCAACATCCACAGCCTTTTAGTTATTAATAAGAAGTTGTTTAAAGTAAAATATTGACGCCGGACGATGGACGCCTGACGGACGCTGGATTGCCGCACCACGGTATCAGCACACTTGATCCTTCGGACCAGGTGAGCTAAAAATGATATGATTAACAACAACAAACATCACATCACAGCCGGGTACATGATATAATTGATATTACTCTAAATATCACACAATGTTTGTGGTACTGTTGGGATGGTTTACCTCATCCTCACTGCTCAGCATTAGTTTGACCGACTGTTCTTTACCGGTCACGTCCAAGCCAAACTCGACATAACCTGTTATAACCATACAACTGAATTAAAACAAAACTTGCTAATGAAAAAGACTGAGTGTTAAATCTGATACAATCTGGTTACTTATTATCCCTTACCTGCTGACTTCCAATTTCTAGAGAGATTTATGAAAAAAGTCTGCAATAAAGTTTTCATTTGATGGAATCTTTGCTGAACTAATATGAAAATATTAGGACAAGTTACAACAGTCTCAAATGAAGCAGAAATAAATTCAGTAGCCTTCTCATGTTATCATTGAAAATTATCTTACACTAATAATATTTACCCAGACCAAATTGTTCATCGGAAGTCATGTCTATTGTTCCAATAGTGAAGTGATCATTTAAATACCATATATAAAAGTCTACCTGGTATATAAAAATGTGATATGGGCATATTAGTGTTCACTGCTAGCATGGAATATAAATATTTTACAATTATACATCATACATTGTAAATGGTAGCTGATTAAGAATAATTTCATCAGATGTTTCAAATTATTTTTTTGGGTTGAATTTGTTCAGGGTACCATCATCGATCTCAGAGATTGTATTCTATACAGTACTTATTAAACTAAGTCTTGTAATTTAAAGTTTATGTACACTGGGAAGCTCATACAAATACTCATGTCATAAAAAACCAAGTTTAACCAAATTTAGAAGGTATCGGAACAACTCAGAGGGAATGGGAACAATTTTGAGATTCTATTTATCATACGATTTACTTCGTTTTGTAAAATATTGAATTTTGAAGAAAAAAACAAAGGAAAGCATCACAATGAATTAAGTGCTTTCATTTTCTGATATCAAAATAGGTCTCATATATAATATCATTAAATTATGTGTTGTTGTAACATTCTTAAAAATAACCAGGTCTAATAATTAATGGATCTATATGAAAGACATTCTTACCACTGTTGATACCAAACGCTTCATCCAGTAAGCCCTCATAGGTCAGCTGTGAGCAGAGGGGGGTCACATAATCCACATCTATAAATAGAACATGATCAACATTCTGTGATATACCTATAGGCCATATATACTTAGAAACATGGCTTGTTAGACCTGCTTTATCTCAATATTATAGGGTAAGTATACGTAAGAGGCACGGTAGTCTAGTGGTAGGACGCCAGGCTCATGACTGATGGGAGGCACGGTAGTCTAGTGGTAGGACGCCGGGCTCATGACTGATGGGAGGCACGGTAGTCTAGTGGTAGGACGCCAGGCTCATGACTGATGGGAGGCACGGTAGTCTAGTGGTAGGAAGCCAGGCTCATGACTGATGGGAGGCACGGTAGTCTGTGGTAGGAAGCCAGGCTCATGACTGAAGGGAGGCACGGAAGTCTAGTGGTAGGACGCCAGGCTCATGACTGAAGGGAGGCACGGTAGTCTAGTGGTAGGACGCCAGGATCATTACTGAATGGAGGCACGGTAGTCTAGTAGTAGGACGCCGGGCTCATGACCGAAGGGAGGCACGGAAGTCTAGTGGTAGGACGCCAGGCTCATGACTGAAGGGAGGCACGGTAGTCTAGTAGTAGGACGCCGGGCGCATGACCGAAGGGAGGCACGGAAGTCTAGTGGGAGGAGCCAAGGCTCATGACTGATGGGAGGCACAGTAGTCTAGTAGTAGGAAGCCAGGCTCATTACTGAACGGAGGCACGGTAGTCTAGTGGTAGGACGCCGGGGTCATGACTGATGGGAGGCACAGAAGTCTAATGGTAGGACGCCGGGGCTGTGACTGAAGGGAGGCACGGTAGTCTATTGGTAGGACGCCGGGGTTGTGACTGAAGGGAGGCATGGTAGTCTAATTGTAGGACGCCGGGGTTGTGACTGAAGGGAGGCACGGAAGTCTATTGGTAGGACACCGGGGTTGTGACTGAAGAGAGGCACGGAAGTCTATTGGTAGGACGCTGGGGTTGTGACTAAAGGGAGGCACGGAAGTCTATTGGTAGGATGCCGGGGTTGTGACTGAAGGGAGGCACGGTAGTCTATTGGTAGGACGCGGGGGTCGTGACTGAAGGGAGGCATGGTAGTCTATTGGTAGGACGCCAGGGTTGTGACTGAAGGGAGGCACGGAAGTCTATTGGTAGGACGCCGGGGTCGTGACTGAAGGGAGGCACGGAAGTCTAGTGGTAGGACGCCGGGGTCGTGACTGAATGAGAGGCATGGAAGTTTATTGGTAGGACGCCGGGGTTGTGACTGAAGGGAGGCACGGAAGTCTAGTGGTAGGACGCCGGGGTCGTGACTGAAGGGAGGCACAGTAGTCCAGTGGTAGGACGCCGGTGTCATGACTGAAGGGAGGCATGGAAGTCTATTGGTAGGACGCCGGGATTGTGACTGAAGGGTTGCGGGTTTGAGTCACGGCACGACAATGTGCTGTATCTTTCAGCAAGATACTTTACTCCGCTTGTTCCAGTCTACTTTGATGTAAATGAGTACACGATTCAGTTCTCAGAATTGTTGAATGCTAACTGTGATCATCGAAATGGCAGCTCCGGCAGTATGCTCCCAAGTGAGTTTAGAATGATAATGGCTGGTTGCAAAGGCCCTATAACCACGGATAATAGTTTGTGAACAATTGAGACGACCTACGAACTAGGTTGTGAAAAAGCGGTATTTAAGAACTTCAAATTATTATTATTATTATTCAACAAATCACATGTCATGCCATGCAGGGATTTGTTTAACGTGATAAGTTTGCCAACTGACATGCAAAAATCATACAGCAATGTAATCTATAGGTAACAGGATTTGACAATAAAACATTTTAAACATGCATATTCTTAGAATTACCTCACTACACGTAATTAGAAAATCCCAAAATAATTTCTCTATTCTGTCGATCTTCACACTTTGTTCTGACTTAGTGTATATAATTCATTATTGAGGTAAATGTACATCCTTTACAGTAGTTAATGATAGAGACTGAGCTTTATTGTTATACAGCAACATTAATATAATCTCTCATCTTGTGAGTGAGACAGCAGAGTTTCAATCCTAGGGAGATGAATCTTAAACATGCATTACACCTGTACAAAAGTAAGAGAACTGTAGTTGCTTACCTCTGTCTATGAGAATCAGGTTGCCTATTTCATTCCGACTGTAATCTGTTCCGGCAAGTTTTTCTCCAAGGATGGAATTCATGAGATCATAAACCATCTATAAAAAACATTTGTTTTCATGACCAATTGTCTAATGTAAGTTTCTGTCCATATGTACAGTGTTAGAAAATGGAACATACTTTATCAAAGGTATGCACAATATGTCCATTTCCTATGTAAATTTCACTATTAAAATCAATTTCTATAAACATATATATTAATAATAATAATAATAATAATAGTCTTTATTTCCACTTGATGACATATTGAGTCAAAGGCTCGTCTAACATATGCATTGGGTCAAGGATGATAAAATGTACACTATTTACAACATGTTAATTACCTCACATAGGGTCAAGGATGATAAAATGTACACTATTTACAACATGTTAATTACCTCACATAGGGTCAAGGATGATAAAATGTACACTATTTACAACATGTTAATTACCTCACTATTTAAATAAAACGTCTGTTCTATACAAACTTGACAACATTTATCACAGACCTTGGCTATGTAGCCAATATCAATAAGCTATCAAGGATACCCTTTCATATCTTATACATTTTGAGTCTAATTTATAGTGACATCTGACCAATAATGTAACTCAAAAGGCTCTGAAGTAAGTGGCAGTTATAAGAACACTCTTTCTTGCAAAACAATACTGAATTTTTATCACGAGGCACAGGACATTAATGGTCATCTGTGCATTATAATAAAAGACAATAGAGAAAATTGAAGTACATAATTATGTAGTAACAGTGTATACGTAGTTCTCCATCCCAGCAAGCTTCAGATCATATATAATGAATACAGGCCGTATAGTTGTTCAGAAGATTCAACATATTTGACCCCTGTAGCTTTGAATAAAGGTAAAGATCATTTATAAGATAACATTTGATGGCTCTCAATCTCAGCTAAGTAAAGGCAAAAAATCATGTCTCACCTACACAGTACTTTTGACCTTGATTTTTGATAGTACACCAACCTTGACCCCCTTACTATGACCTACCAAGGTACCTACCAAGTACCTTTGGCCTTGAGATTTGATAGCACACCAACCTTTGACCCCGTAACTATGACCTACCAAGTACCTTTGGCCTTGAGATTTGATAGCACACCTACCTTTGACCCCCGACCTATGCAATAGATATTTGGTATCATCCCAATGAGAGCCTGAAGTCCTATCAAAGACTTGGATACAGTGTGAAGCCACACATGGTCATTCTCCTGGAAAAATTAAAGATATCGCAATCACCCAGACTGATTTCATTGAATCTTGTTATCTGAAATTAAATCAACTTGAATTAGCAATGATATTATTAAACCTACAGAGAAAATTCTCAGGCCAATTTACATTTCACATATTCAGAACAAAATGGTTGTTAGAAACATATATTGTAGAAGTTTGTACTAAAATTCAGTACATTCCTTTATCCCTTGTTTGATTTCCTCTATCAGTGCTGAAAGGAAGGGGAGGTGCCATAAGACATACAAGACTCCAGATTTGTCACCCTGTCACAGAACCAGGGAGACATAAGTGATTGCAATAACTACAGGAATGTATCCCTCCTCAGGATCAAGAGAAGCTCTTTGTGTGTGTCATATACTGTTCCTGCTCCATAGGCCTGCCGAACAGGAGGACCCCGAATCTCAGTGTGGCTTTCACCACGAAAAAGCCTACAGTTGACATTATCTCCACTCCCTCTCAGCTCCAGCAGAAGTGCAGCAGGAGCACAAGTCACACTATCAACCTCACCAAACATACATATAATGTCTCCTGGTTTCAAGCATCAAAACAACAATCTCCTGTTTTTCCCCTTTTAAACATGGAAATCTCACAATTGATTTGCATACATCCTGGAAGCTGTTGACTACTTAACGTACATGTGTATCTTGGTTCCTCCATCAGCAATGATCTCTCCCTTGATATAAGTGAAAGTTGACAAATGCATTGAAAATGCAGCATCCAACTTTGCTTGACTTATGACACATGTCTAGGAGACTTGTCTTATGACACATGTCTGGGAGACTTGACTTATGACACATGTCTGAGAGACTTGATTTATGACACATGTCTGGGAGACTTTACTTATGACACATGTCTGGGAGACTTGTCTTATGACACATGTCTGGGAGACTTGACTTATGACACATGTCTGAGAGACTTGACTTATGACACATGTCTGGGAGACTTGTTTTATGACACATGTCTGGGAGACTTGACTTATGACACATGTCTGGGAGACTTGACTTATGACACATGTCTGGGAGACTTGACTTATGACACATGTCTGGGAGACTTGACTTATGACACATGTCTGGGAGACTTGACTTATGACACATGTCTGGGAGACTTGACTTATGACACATGTCTGGGAGACTTGACTTATGACACATGTCTGGGAGACTTGACTTATGACACATGTCTGGGAGACTTGACTTATGACACATGTCTGGGAGACTTGACTTATGACACATGTCTGGGAGACTTGACTTATGACACATGTCTGGGAGACTTGACTTATGACACATGTCTGGGAGACTTGACTTATGACACATGTCTGGGAGACTTGACTTATGACACATGTCTGGGAGACTTGACTTATGACACATGTCTGGGAGACTTGACTTATGACACATGTCTGGGAGACTTGACTTATGACACATGTCTGGGAGACTTGTCTTATGACACATGTCTGGGAGACTTGACTTATGACACATGTCTGAGAGACTTGACTTATGACACATGTCTGGGAGACTTGACTTATGACACATGTCTGGGAGACTTGACTTATGACACATGTCTGGGAGACTTGACTTATGACACATGTCTGGGAGACTTGACTTATGACACATGTCTGGGAGACTTGACTTATGACACATGTCTGGGAGACTTGACTTATGACACATGTCTGGGAGACTTGACTTATGACACATGTCTGGGAGACTTGACTTATGACACATGTCTGGGAGACTTGACTTATGACACATGTCTGGGAGACTTGACTTATGACACATGTCTGGGAGACTTGACTTATGACACATGTCTGGGAGACTTGACTTATGACACATGTCTGGGAGACTTGACTTATGACACATGTCTGGGAGACTTGACTTATGACACATGTCTGGGAGACTTGACTTATGACACATGTCTGGGAGACTTGACTTATGACACATGTCTGGGAGACTTGACTTATGACACATGTCTGGGAGACTTGACTTATGACACATGTCTGGGAGACTTGTCTTATGACACATGTCTGGGAGACTTGACTTATGACACATGTCTGAGAGACTTGACTTATGACACATGTCTGGGAGACTTGACTTATGACACATGTCTGGGAGACTTGACTTATGACACATGTCTGGGAGACTTGACTTATGACACATGTCTGGGAGACTTGACTTATGACACATGTCTGGGAGACTTGACTTATGACACATGTCTGGGAGACTTGACTTATGACACATGTCTGGGAGACTTGACTTATGACACATGTCTGGGAGACTTGACTTATGACACATGTCTGGGAGACTTGACTTATGACACATGTCTGGGAGACTTGTCTTATGACACATGTCTGGGAGACTTGACTTATGACACATGTCTGAGAGACTTGACTTATGACACATGTCTGGGAGACTTGACTTATGACACATGTCTGGGAGACTTGACTTATGACACATGTCTGGGAGACTTGACTTATGACACATGTCTGGGAGACTTGACTTATGACACATGTCTGGGAGACTTGACTTATGACACATGTCTGGGAGACTTGACTTATGACACATGTCTGGGAGACTTGACTTATGACACATGTCTGGGAGACTTGACTTATGACACATGTCTGGGAGACTTGACTTATGACACATGTCTGGGAGACTTGACTTATGACACATGTCTGGGAGACTTGACTTATGACACATGTCTGGGAGACTTGACTTATGACACATGTCTGGGAGACTTGACTTATGACACATGTCTGGGAGACTTGACTTATGACACATGTCTGGGAGACTTGACTTATGACACATGTCTGGGAGACTTGACTTATGACACATGTCTGGGAGACTTGACTTATGACACATGTCTGGGAGACTTGACTTATGACACATGTCTGGGAGACTTGTCTTATGACACATGTCTGGGAGACTTGACTTATGACACATGTCTGAGAGACTTGACTTATGACACATGTCTGGGAGACTTGACTTATGACACATGTCTGGGAGACTTGACTTATGACACATGTCTGGGAGACTTGACTTATGACACATGTCTGGGAGACTTGACTTATGACACATGTCTGGGAGACTTGACTTATGACACATGTCTGGGAGACTTGACTTATGACACATGTCTGGGAGACTTGACTTATGACACATGTCTGGGAGACTTGACTTATGACACATGTCTGGGAGACTTGACTTATGACACATGTCTGGGAGACTTGACTTATGACACATGTCTGGGAGACTTGACTTATGACACATGTCTGGGAGACTTGACTTATGACACATGTCTGGGAGACTTGACTTATGACACATGTCTGGGAGACTTGACTTATGACACATGTCTGGGAGACTTGACTTATGACACATGTCTGGGAGACTTGACTTATGACACATGTCTGGGAGACTTGACTTATGACACATGTCTGGGAGACTTGACTTATGACACATGTCTGGGAGACTTGACTTATGACACATGTCTGGGAGACTTGACTTATGACACATGTCTGGGAGACTTGTCTTATGACACATGTCTGGGAGACTTGTCTTATGACACATGTCTGAGAGACTTGACTTATGACACATGTCTGAGAGACTTGACTTATGACACATGTCTGGGAGACTTGACTTATGACACATGTCTGGGAGACTTGACTTATGACACATGTCTGGGAGACTTGACTTATGACACATGTCTGGGAGACTTGACTTATGACACATGTCTGGGAGACTTGACTTATGACACATGTCTGGGAGACTTGACTTATGACACATGTCTGGGAGACTTGACTTATGACACATGTCTGGGAGACTTGACTTATGACACATGTCTGGGAGACTTGACTTATGACACATGTCTGGGAGACTTGACTTATGACACATGTCTGGGAGACTTGACTTATGACACATGTCTGGGAGACTTGACTTATGACACATGTCTGGGAGACTTGACTTATGACACATGTCTGGGAGACTTGACTTATGACACATGTCTGGGAGACTTGACTTATGACACATGTCTGGGAGACTTGTCTTATGACACATGTCTGGGAGACTTGACTTATGACACATGTCTGAGAGACTTGACTTATGACACATGTCTGGGAGACTTGTCTTATGACACATGTCTGGGAGACTTGACTTATGACACATGTCTGAGAGACTTGACTTATGACACATGTCTGGGAGACTTGACTTATGACACATGTCTGGGAGACTTGACTTATGACACATGTCTGGGAGGCTTGTCTTATGACACATGTCTGGGAGACTTGACTTATGACACATGTCTGAGAGACTTGACTTATGACACATGTCTGGGAGACTTGACTTATGACACATGTCTGGGAGACTTATCTTATGACACATGTCTGGGAGACTTATCTTAGGACACATGTATGGGAGACTTGACTTATGACGCATGTCTAGGAGACTTGACTTATGACACATGTCTGGGAGACTTGCCTTATGACACATGTCTGGCAGACTTGACTTATGACGTGTCTGGGAGACTTGACATATGACATATGTCTGGGAGACTTGATTTATGACATATGTCTTGCAGACTTGACTTATGACACATGTCTGGCAGACTTGACTTATGACACATGTCTTGGGAGAACACCAACCTTACTGTCAAAACCAAGATGGCAGTGTAGAGTGTTTGTGTCATTGGCACTCTGCTTTACAGCACTAAATCCTGGTCAACCTACCCCAAACTACAGTTAAAAAGGCTGCGCTTGCTTATATTATCAGAGGAGAGAAGAGATAAAGTGTCTAACACTGATGCGCTGACTCAGACTGTCCTCCCAACTTGCTGCTCAGAAAACACAGGATGTGCTGGCTTGGCCTCATCCATTGGATGGAGGAAGGACACAAACGCAAAGATATCCTCTACAGTGCACTTGCCTCCAGAAAGAGGATTGTTGGATGAAAGAGATGGTCAATGACACTGAATGCTGGGAGGATACAGCAAACATCTACTTAACACAGTGTGGTGTCGTCTGCTGCCAGCTCAGATTGGGAAAAGTAAAACTCCAGTGTTTGGCAGAGGAGACCTTGATGAAAGGTGTGCCCTACGACAAGCATCCCACCAACAGAACAACAGAGACTAACATTCCCAGAGAGGTCTCAACAGAACAAGTCGCTGCTGTATCGCCATCCCCAGCATCTAGGGCACACCTAGCTATGGTCAATGACTTACAAAAGGAAGCCCACTGCATAAATTATGTATGGAAGTTTTGTACACAAGATAAAACACAGCTAGGATGCAGACTTCAATGGTGCTTACAGAAAAAAATGTAAAAATAAACATTACAGTTGGCTTAAAAACCTTTTGGACATATGGAAGACATAAAGCAAACACAATTTCGGTTTTTCTTTTTGCCCACCGAGGAGTAATTTAAAAAAAAAAAACACACCATTATAGTATTTAAATCAATATAGCATTTAGATTGAAAATCGGTAAGAAAAATAACTTAGTTTCAAGCCAATTCTTTACACTGAAAATATGTGTGAAGAATAATTTCCTTTTAAGCCAATTTTTTTTTATGTATCTAATAATATTTTGTAAGACACATGGTAATGATATGGTAAGCTTACAATACTTCTCTAACACTTAAATGTTTTACCTGGTTTTTTTAGCATAAAACTTTTGTGAATAGCACTTCTACTATAATGATGTATTACCAAGTAGAACGTTTTGAAGAATTCTGAGAGCTCCAGCGACAGGATGTCACGGTCCAGAGGAATGAGGTCAAGTGGAAGTTCATCTAGGGTCACGTCTCCAAACACACCCTCATGTTCCAGAATCATCTCACACACATGTAGCTGTAGGAACAAACAGAATCATCTCACACAAATGTAGCTGTAAGAACAAACAGAATCATCTCACACACATGTAGCTGTAGGAACAAACAGAGTCATCTCACACACATGTAGCTGTAGGAACAAACAGAGTCAACTCACACACATGTCGCTGTAGGAACAAACAGAATCATCTCACACACATGTAGCTGTAGGAACAAACAGAAACATCTCACACAAATGTAGCTGTAAGAACATACAGAATCATCTCACACACATGTAGCTGTAGTAACAAACAGAATCATCTCACACACATGTAGCCGTAGGAACAAACAGAATCATCTCACACACGTGTAGCTGTAGGAACACACAGAATCATCTCACACACATGTAGCTGTAGTAACAAACAGAATCATCTCACACACATGTAGCCGTAGGAACAAACAGAATCATCTCACACACATGTAGCTGTAGGAAAAAACAGAATCATCTCACACACATGTAGCTGTAGTAACAAACAGAATCATCTCACACACATGTAGCCGTAGGAACAAACAGAATCATCTCACACAAATGTAGCTGTAAGAACAAACAGAAACATCTCACACACATGTTTCAGTAGGAACAAACAGAATCATCTCACACACATGTAGCTGTAGGAACACACAGAATCATCTCACACACATGTAGCTGTAGGGACAAACTTTTTTTTTTGTCACAAAAATTATTGGATGTGTGTGAGGGAGTCCTACATCATATGATCACTTCTACATTATGATATTGTATGATAACTTTAGTTGTCAGTGATTCCTCTGTATTACAGTTACCTTTCTGGGAACCATGATAATTTTGTACTTCCTCTCTGTCCCATGGTTTTTTTCTCCACTTATGTGATCTGCTATCAGCTTCATGGTCCGCATTCTTGGTCTCACCAGGTAAATACGTCTGGAAGTCAAAACATAGAGAGTATTGTACTGGATTAGATGTAATCAAGAAAAGGAGTTTACTTGAAAGCTTTAAACTATTCTCTCTTCTATATAGCAGATGAAGTAACAAAATGAGATTTCTGACTTAAGAGTTACTTCCCTTGTCGAGGTATCATCCCTAATTTTGATGCTGCTCATTATAACAACATATTTATAAATACTCAAACTTTGAGTAACTTAATTTCTGAAAAATACAGTGTTATGTATTGTATAGGATGCATCTGTTGAAAATGACCTGAACAAATAATTCTTTAATGTGATAATGGAAATAATATGTTTATAATATGATGGTACTTTTTCTTTTCATTTTGGGTTATGCAATTTTTGTTGTAAACATAAGATTCCAAAATGTTTTGATGTGCGATTTGTTCTTTTAATTCTCTGCGTTTTAATTTAATTGTTTTGAAATGTTGTCTTAGGAAATGTAAGAAGGGGGTTAATGAGGGTTAGAGACAGGAGACTATACTCACTGGTCACATCCCTGTATAGATTTCTGTGAGGGATCCAGTTTAAAAATCTTGTCAACTCCATGTTGCTTAAAGTAAAGAAATGATGAAAAAAATCATATAACGTGTAAGTTCTTTGTTTTAGAAAATGGGGAGTAGGGGTGGGTTAGAAAGGACTTGGGGTCTTACAATCAAGCTGGCACCTGATGGGGAAAAGGGGTGGGTTAGAAAAGACTTGTGGTCTTACAATCACACAGCTGGCACCTGAAGGGGAGGAGGGGTGGGTTAGAAAGGACTTGGGGTATTACAATCACGCTGGCACCTGAAGGGGAGTAGGGGTAGGTTAGACAGGACTTTTGGTCTAACAATCACGCTGGCACCTGATGGGGAGTAGGGGTGGGTTAGAAAGGACTTTGGGTATTACAATCAAGCTGGCACCTGATGGGGAGTAGGGGTGGGTTAAAAAGGACTTGGGGTCTTACAATCAATCTGGCACCTGATGGGGAGTAGGGGTGGGTTAGAAAGGACTTGGGGTCTTTCAATCACACAGCTGGCACCTGATGGGGAGGAGGGGTAGGTTAGACAGGACTTTTGGTCTAACAATCACGCTGGCACCTGATGGGGGGTAGGGGTAGGTTAGACAGGACTTTTGGTCTAACAATCACGCTGGCACCTGATGGGGAGTAGGGGTAGGTTAGACAGGACTTTTGGTCTAACAATCACGCTGGCACCTGATGGGGAGTAGGGGTGGGTAAGAAAGGACTTGGGGTCTTACAATCAAGCTGGCACCTGATGGGGAGTAGGGGTGGGTTAGAAAGGACTTGGGGTCTTACAATCAAGCTGGCACCTGAAGGGGAGTAGGGGTGGGTTAGAAAGGACTTGGGGTCTTACAATCACACAGCTGGCACCTGAAGGGGAGTAGGGGTGCGTTAGAAAGGACTTGGGGGTCTTACAATCACACAGCTGGCACCTGAAGGGGAGTAGGGGTGGGTTAGAAAGGACCTTGGGTATTACAATCACGCTGGCACCTGATGGGGAGTAGGGATAGGTTAGATAGGACTTGGGGGTCTTACAATCACACAGCTGGCACCTGAAGGGGAGTAGGGGTGGGTTAGAAAGGACCTTGGGTATTACAATCACGCTGGCACCTGATGGGGAGTAGGGGTAGGTTAGACAGGACTTTGGGTCTAACAATCACNTAGAAAGGACTCAGGGTATTACAATCACGCTGGCACCTGATGGGGAGTAGGGGTGGGTAAGAAAGGACTTGGGGTCTTACAATCAAGCTGGCACCTGATGGGGAAAAGGGGTGGGTTAGAAAAGACTTGTGGTCTTACAATCACACAGCTGGCACCTGATGGGGGAAAAGGGGTGGGTTAGAAAAGACTTGTGGTCTTACAATCACACAGCTGGCACCTGATGGGGAGTAGGGGTGGGTTAGAAAGGACTCAGGGTATTACAATCACGCTGGCACCTGATGGGGAGTAGGGGTGGGTAAGAAAGGACTTGGGGTCTTACAATCAAGCTGGCACCTGATGGGGAAAAGGGGTGGGTTAGAAAAGACTTGTGGTCTTACAATCACACAGCTGGCACCTGATGGGGGAAAAGGGGTGGGTTAGAAAAGACTTGTGGTCTTACAATCACACAGCTGGCACCTGATGGGGAGTAGGGGTGGGTTAGAAAGGACTCAGGGTATTACAATCACGCTGGCACCTGATGGGGAGTAGGGGTGGGTAAGAAAGGACTTGGGGTCTTACAATCAAGCTGGCACCTGATGGGGAAAAGGGGTGGGTTAGAAAAGACTTGTGGTCTTACAATCACACAGCTGGCACCTGATGGGGGAAAAGGGGTGGGTTAGAAAAGACTTGTGGTCTTACAATCACACAGCTGGCACCTGATGGGGAGTAGGGGTGGGTTAGAAAGGACTCAGGGTATTACAATCACGCTGGCACCTGATGGGGAGTAGGGGTGGGTAAGAAAGGACTTGGGGTCTTACAATCAAGCTGGCACCTGATGGGGAAAAGGGGTGGGTTAGAAAAGACTTGTGGTCTTACAATCACACAGCTGGCACCTGATGGGGGAAAAGGGGTGGGTTAGAAAAGACTTGTGGTCTTACAATCACACAGCTGGCACCTGATGGGGAGTAGGGGTGGGTTAGAAAGGACTCAGGGTATTACAATCACGCTGGCACCTGATGGGGAGTAGGGGTGGGTAAGAAAGGACTTGGGGTCTTACAATCAAGCTGGCACCTGATGGGGAAAAGGGGTGGGTTAGAAAAGACTTGTGGTCTTACAATCACACAGCTGGCACCTGATGGGGGAAAAGGGGTGGGTTAGAAAAGACTTGTGGTCTTACAATCACACAGCTGGCACCTGATGGGGAGTAGGGGTGGGTTAGAAAGGACTCAGGGTATTACAATCACGCTGGCACCTGATGGGGAGTAGGGGTGGGTAAGAAAGGACTTGGGGTCTTACAATCAAGCTGGCACCTGATGGGGAAAAGGGGTGGGTTAGAAAAGACTTGTGGTCTTACAATCACACAGCTGGCACCTGATGGGGGAAAAGGGGTGGGTTAGAAAAGACTTGTGGTCTTACAATCACACAGCTGGCACCTGATGGGGAGTAGGGGTGGGTTAGAAAGGACTCAGGGTATTACAATCACGCTGGCACCTGATGGGGAGTAGGGGTGGGTAAGAAAGGACTTGGGGTCTTACAATCAAGCTGGCACCTGATGGGGAAAAGGGGTGGGTTAGAAAAGACTTGTGGTCTTACAATCACACAGCTGGCACCTGATGGGGGAAAAGGGGTGGGTTAGAAAAGACTTGTGGTCTTACAATCACACAGCTGGCACCTGATGGGGAGTAGGGGTGGGTTAGAAAGGACTCAGGGTATTACAATCACGCTGGCACCTGATGGGGAGTAGGGGTGGGTAAGAAAGGACTTGGGGTCTTACAATCAAGCTGGCACCTGATGGGGAAAAGGGGTGGGTTAGAAAAGACTTGTGGTCTTACAATCACACAGCTGGCACCTGATGGGGGAAAAGGGGTGGGTTAGAAAAGACTTGTGGTCTTACAATCACACAGCTGGCACCTGATGGGGAGTAGGGGTGGGTTAGAAAGGACTCAGGGTATTACAATCACGCTGGCACCTGATGGGGAGTAGGGGTGGGTAAGAAAGGACTTGGGGTCTTACAATCAAGCTGGCACCTGATGGGGAAAAGGGGTGGGTTAGAAAAGACTTGTGGTCTTACAATCACACAGCTGGCACCTGATGGGGGAAAAGGGGTGGGTTAGAAAAGACTTGTGGTCTTACAATCACACAGCTGGCACCTGATGGGGAGTAGGGGTGGGTTAGAAAGGACTCAGGGTATTACAATCACGCTGGCACCTGATGGGGAGTAGGGGTGGGTAAGAAAGGACTTGGGGTCTTACAATCAAGCTGGCACCTGATGGGGAAAAGGGGTGGGTTAGAAAAGACTTGTGGTCTTACAATCACACAGCTGGCACCTGATGGGGAGTAGGGGTTGGTTAGAAAGGACTTGTGGTCTTATAATCACACTGGCACCTGATGGTAGAGCTGGGTTAGACAGGACTTAGGGTCTTACAATCACGCTGGCACCTGATAGGGAGAAGGGGTGGGTTAGAAAGGACTTAGGATCTTACAATCACGCTGGCACCTGATGGGGAATAGGGGTGGGTTAGAAAGGACTTGGGGTCTTACAAACAGATGTAAGACAGAAAAGGAAGGATGATAATTATAAGACACTTGATAAGACAAATTATTTTTTCTACATTTATGTTTAATCATCTATTCTTCGAAATTGTTTTAATTGCATTAGATCACTAAAACACTTTATGACATCAAATTATTTATATTGCATAATATACCTTTAAAAGAGAAGCTCCTGCTATGCGATCCAGTGGTTTCATTAGGTCAGATTCCAGCACCAAATCCTTCTTTCCTTTAAACTGGAAAACATGTTAATCAGAATATTCATATGAACAGGTAAGCAGTTAATCATGATGTCATTTTTTAATCACCCAATTACTTGCCCAGTATGTGTCCCTTTACATGAAGTTATATAGTACACGCTTATATACAATGTATAATTGATACCATTACGCCATTAGCTAAATAATTGCAGATTGGTTTTAATGTATACATGTCCTAGGCTATCAACAGCTAATGTCATTAAAGGACATGTAATGTATGTGTGCTTGTGTTTGCTAGAGCAGGGTATGTTGATATATTTGCCTCCTTGCAATAGTGCAGATCAGTATACTGATAGTGCTCAGTATTTCACCAAGTCACATTATACTGACAAAGGGTAAGCCAGTTGTTGTGATAACCCCAAATGCAGGGAATAATTACTACCATTTTTAGGACTTCAGTATGTCCAACAATGGGGACAGAACCCATTGCTTACTCAAAAATTACAGAAGTTCATCTGGGAAAAAAATTGACTCTTATATTTGCTATATCTTTGAATGACAACATAATGTTTTGGAAAGGATGTTCATACATTTACTAGGAATTAAGGAAGAAATCAACAGGAACACTGCCTGTAGATTAGCCAGATAAACCAGACCACATGACAGTCACAAGATTTCGTGGATCAGACTATGATGAGTTTGGGCATATATATGTACACACATATATATATATATATATATAATTCCCACTCAGCCACTTGTCCACCCTGGAGCAGAATATAAATATCATGGAAACAACTGAGTATACGTATGTGATTTGAGTATAATGATGTCAAAACTATAATTAAAATACTTTACTTACCGACAACAAAAGCGTGGCGAGTTCATTTCGAACAACATCACGAATTTTCTGTACATTTGGGAAGTGTGTTGAGGGGGCTGACATTTCCGGAAGTATATAACGTAAGTACAATAAATCAACAAGGAAAACGATCACGGTGACTTATATCCGGAAACGTAATGTCGCGTAAAAGCTTTACCAGTGTTCCAGCTAGGATTTGAAAAGGGCGCTGACCAGAAAAAAACAGTTACTTGATAAAGGTGGTGTATAACGTGTTTCATATATTCTCTTTGTAGTTTTTATTAGGGATTTTTTGAGGGGTCAATGGACCCATGGCTCCCTCCAGGATGACCCCTGGGCTTATTATAGCTTGCTTTAAGCAAAATATTATCTTGGCAACTATATTTTATTGAGAGGATTAAAGGTCAAAGGGGGGAAAAACAACATTTTCTATTATAATTATTTTATTTAAAAGGCAATTTCCTATTCTGATATATACAGTAATACTGATATCCAGGTATACACGTACAGAGACCGACAATCAGAAATCCTGTCAGCCTTGTAATAAATACGACTGTTTCGCTCATGACACATTCCTCATGGTGGTTTTTTTAACCCTTTCACCACTGTAAACCAAAATGGACTCATCCAGATCAATGCTTGGTGGAGTCTACTAAAGTTACATAGGGGTGAAAGGGTTAAACTCTCGTTTACCTAACAAGAGACCCCATGATGATCTTGGCGCCCGCCAGGCTTACCCTATTCATAGGTTCGTCTAACTAATCTTATCTCGTCTTTAATACTTAATTTTATCTGTTGGATTGAGTCATGTGAACAGTAAATGCACCTTCTAGTAACTTTTGATCAAAGTTTCATACTTGTGTGTATGACATTTCTCTTTCAAAGTGAAGTGTCATTCCTAAAGAAGGATTTTGAAGATTTACCTCTATTTCCCCTATTGGGCCCCGCCCCTCAGCCCCCAGGGGGACCACACTCGCTGTTTATAAGAAATGGAGTTCCTTTTGCCCAAGGATGCTCCAGACTGAATTAGGATAAAAAAAATCCCTTAATCCCTATGATAGAAGAAGGATTATAAAGGTTTTACATCTATTTCCCCTATTGGGCCCCGTCCCTCAGGTCCCGGGGGGGGGGGCACACCCACCGTTTATACAAAATTGGTTCCGTTTATTATCCAAGGATGTTCCACACAATATGGACCAAATCCTTTTATTCCTACAGAAGATGAAGGATTTTAAAGAATAATTTGCTATGTTTCCCCTATTGGGCCCCGCCCCTCGGGCCCCTGGGGGCCTAGATCCACGGTTTATACACGATTAGATTCCCTTCACCCAAGGATGCGTCAGACCAAATATGGACCAAATCCTTTCATTCCTGCAGAAAAAGAAGGATTTTAAAGATTAATTTTCTATGTTTCCCTATTGGGCACCGCCCCTCAGGCCCCTACGGGGCCAGACCCACGGTTTATACAAACTAAGATCCCCTTCACCCAAGGATGCTTCAGACCAAATATGGAACAAATCCTTTCATTCCTACAGAAGAAGAAGGATTTTAAAGAATTTGCTATATTTCCCCTATTGGGCCCCGCCCCTCAGCCCCCAGGGGGGCCAGACCCATCGTTTATACAAAATTGGTTCCCCTTCACCTAAGGATGCTTCTGACCAAATTTTGTTAAAATCAGCTCAGTGGTTCGTGACTAGTAGTGTAAAGTTGACGGACGACGGACGCTGCGGTATGGCATAAGCTCACCATGGTCCTTAGGACCAGGTGAGCTAAAAATGTAGAAAATATCCGGACAAAAAATCAAATGCTGAAATGAACAAGGTCAATAACTTTTGCAAAAATGGTCGAATCAAAATTCTTTTCAAGGAAACACAACAACAAATCATGAGTATTTAGCCTAAGAATTTTCAAATAAATCCGTCAAAAAATGTAGGAGGAGATTGCCGGACAAAAAATCAAATATAGAAATGAACAAAGCTCAATAATAATGAAATAAGAGATATTTTGCAGTTATTGAAGCTTGGTAAGGCCTCGGGTGAGGACGGAATCAGTCACTATATGCTACGAAACACATCAGAAACCATTTGTGTCCCCCTTGAAATATTTTTTTAATGTCTTTATCGTCTGGTGTTTACCCAAACACGTGGAAAACAGTCAAAGTTATGCCTCTGTTTAAAAAGGGTGACAGGCATTCTCCCTCTAATTACAGACGAATTTCTTTATTTTCTACAGTTTGCAAAGTGTTTGAGAGAGTAATTTTCAAATACATGCATAATTATTTTATTGAAAACTCATTTTTTATAAGTGTCAGTCTGGTTTTTTGCCTGGCCATTCTACTGTAACATCTGTATTGCTATAGAAAGGAAAAAAACATGTATGTATGGTATTCTGCGATATTCTAAGGCTTTTGATGGGGTTTGGCATAAGGGTTTGATGATTAAGTTAAAAATCTTATGGAATATCAGGAGAATTTTATCAATGGTTGGAAAATTACCTATTTCAGGGGCACCAGAAAGTCTTTTTGAATAATTCTTACTCTCACTTAGGTTTCATTGAAGCAGTTGTTCCTCAGGGTTCGATTCTTGGACTTCTTTTGTTTCTTATCTATATTAATGATATTGCTGCTGTGTTTGAATCAACCTCTCATCTTTTTGCAGAAGATGCTTCTTTGTTAAAATCATCCTCTTCGTGTCTAGAAATTCCTAGTTCCGTTTAAGGTAAACGGAACTAGGAACCAGCCCCTAGTTCCGTTTAACATAAACGGAACTGGGAACCAGACCGGGGTCCGTATAGTAAACGTCTATGGGGTTTTTTTTGTAATTCTTTCCCTGTCTACTTCGCTAAACGGAAGGTCAAAGTCCCGTAGTTATATCTGAATCAAGGACAGGAATCAGTGTCAGTCTCCCTTAAACGGAACTGGGGTCTGGTTCCCAGTTCCGTTTAAGTAAAAACGGAACTGGAGATTGAATCTCAGTTCCGTATAAGACCAATTACTTTATAGGGGCTATGGTAGTCTTAATTTTCGTGTGAAAGGTTGTGGGTTCGATTTCTGTCCTTGATTCCGATATAACTACGGGACCTTGACCTTCCGTTTAGCGAAGTAGACAGGGAAAGAATTACAAAAAAACATAGACGTTTACTATACGGAACTGGGGTCTGGTTCCCAGTCCCGTTTAAGGAAAAAAGTAACTCGAGTATGACACTGATTCCTGTCCTTGATTCAAATATAACTACGAGCCTTTGACCTTCCGTTTTGCGCTATAGACAGGGAAAGAATTACCAAAAAAATGTACGTTTACTATACGGACCCCGGTCTGGTTCCCAGTTCCGTTTATGTTAAACGGAACTAGGAACTAGGAACTAGGAACTAACTTCAGGCTCCTGTCTCGTAATGCACGGTCCCAAACTTGGTTAGTAACATTCAATCCAGAAAAAACTGAAGTAATTTTTGTTTCAAACTAGATTGAAATTAATGAAGATTTGGAATTAGAATTTAATGGCGAACTTTTAAATTTTACTGATCATCATAAACATTTAAGTGTTATTTTTAATTCAAGGGCAAAATGGGAGGATCATATTTGTGCAAAATATACTTCAGTTATGAAAAAAGTCAACGTCTTACGTAGACTCAAATACTTATTGAATCGAGATAATCTTTTAAAGATTTATACATCTTTTATTTTTCCAGTTTTAGAATATGCTTGTGAATTGTGGGATGGTTGTACAGCTTATGAAACAGAAATGTTAGAGAAAGCCCAAAGAGAAGCTATTCGTATAATTACTGGACTTCCTTCTTATGCCAGAATCGAAAATTTACTTTTTGAATCTGGTCTAGAAACTCTTTCGAATCGAAGAAAACGCAGAAAACTTCAACTTTTGTATAAGATGCATAATAAATTAACTCCGGACTATTTAAATGATCTATTGCCGTCTAACGTTGCAGAAAATAACCGTTACACCTTAGAAACAATAATGATTATAGAGTTCTTCCTTTCAGGCTTTCTCTAACAAATTCATCTTTTATACCTCAACTCTTCGCATTTGGAATTCATTGGACCTTTCAGTACGATCATTGACTTCTTTACATTCTTTTAAAAACTCGTTAACTTCAAACATACTATCTCCTCCGCCAATCTACTTAGGTTTCGGTGAACGTAAATTAAACATTTTGCATACAAAACTTAGATATCAGTGTAGTCCAATTAAATATGATCTTTATAGGGTAAATCTTGTTGATAGTCCATTTTGTAATTGTGCCCATCACTGTGAAAATGCCTTTCACTTTTTTATGAGTGCCTACTTTTTAACGACGAAAGACGCATCCTGTTCCAAAATTGAAATGTCTTGTATGTTGATTTTGATTTAGAATTACTTTTATTTGGTAATACCCAAGCGTAGGTCATTCCACCAGCACAGTAAAACTTGGAAATAAGCAGACCTAGGGCTCGACTAGCAGATTTTGAAAGTTCTTTCACAGCCAAGTTCATATCAGCATAGTCATCGAACCAGAGACCTAAGTATTTATAACGGTCGGTACGTTCTAGGGAAAGTCCGTTGCAATGGAATGTATGTTGGGTAGCCGATATACTCCTATGTCTGAAATGCACACTCTTGGTCTTTCCAGCGTTTACCGATAGTCGCCAGCGGGAGCACCAAGATGACACGATGTTAAGAAGGGCTTGGAAGTTAATCTCTGATGACGTCAACAACACAATGTCGTCAGCATAAAAAAGACAACCTAAACTGACACCGTCAATGTCAATACCGAGTTCTGAAGAATTTAGCTCTTCAATTAAGTCATTAATATAGATTGCAAAGAGTGTCGGGGAGGCTAAACAACGTTGTTTTACACCACGTGACACAGACAGCCAATCAGTATGCAGATTGTTGACGCGTACACAACATGTAACACCGTTGTATAGTGCAAAAACAGCGTTATAAATTTCTCCTTTTATACCAGACTGTAAAAGCTTATACCACAAACAGTCTCTGACGACCGTATCAAAGGCTTTACGTAGGTCTATAAAACACGAAAACGTCGACTGCTTAGCATTTATTCGGTTTTTCACGATACTATAAAGCGAGTACACGTGATCCTCACAACTTCTGTCCTTGCGAAAACCGTTTTGAGCATCGTGTAGAATACCATGTTTTTCCAGCCAGGCGCTAAGACGACGGTTGAGGATATCACAATAGACCTTACAGGGAACGGACAAGGTTATACCCCGATAGGTTAATGGATCTATAGGGTCAGTGCTGTTAGGTTTTACGATCGGATTGATCAAACCTTGTTTCCATTTATCCGGAACAACTCCATAGTTAAAGCAATGGTTAATTAATGAAAACATAATATCCACACAAGCGTCGTTTTTGAGCACTTCCGCGGGAATATGGTCGATACTTGCAGCTTTTCCAATGTTTGTACGCCGTAGTGCTTCCATAACTTCCTGACGTTGAATCGGTGCGTTAAGGACGGAAATATCCAGATTATGCTTTAATGGAACCGTGTTATTTGCAACACACTCCTTAACCATTACATAATGTTCCTCGTTATACATTGGAGTTTCCCGATCCGTCGCGTACAGGCTCTCGTAGTCCGCTCGCCAACGCTCGAGGACATCTCGCGTGTCAGTAATAATATTACCATCAATATCCTTAACCGGTAGAGGTATAGCCGTACACTTGTCATTTACAATCCCAATTTTCCCGAAATCTTTCCAAAAAAGTTTATTATGCAATTCATTCATTTGTTGCTCTTGAAACTGTCGTTTAACATTTCTATGCAATTGATCGAACTCCTTACGCTCTGTACAGAATAAAGATTTGAGTTGACGTTTTTGTGATTTCTGATTATCAGCACATCTGAGCCAATTACGTTCTTTTTCAATCACAGAGTTCCATTTACATTGTAGTTCGTTGTTCCAATACGGTTTGTACAATGACTTTTTATTAGGACGTATAGTGGTCTTATTACGGATTCGCCTGCCAGCGTTATCCATATTTACATGTAGAAAATCTACGAAATCTTCATATGTAGAGTTAACGTCAGAGCTATTCCTTAGATGGTTTTCCAAACGTTCGATTGTTTCGTTGATGCTTGGTAAATAGTGGGGTCCGACAAGAAAATCATCCGGAACTTTTTTCGCGTTATAACGTCTCTGCGTGTCAGTTATATCGTTAACATCAGTTTGGAGACTTCGGTAAGTAATGCCGATTCTTATATCATCAGGCAGGTTCACTGTACACTCCAATAATGAATGGTCAGGATGAGAGTTAGGAATATTACCGTTGACGTTTTCTACTACGGAGGACATTTTCATTACCTTAAAGTCAACAAAATATTGCAGTTAGTCGTGTGGCACAATCATATAGTCCACGACACACACGTGAAGTTGTCGTCATCAACGTTGTAGCGCCCATTTATTAACACATAATATGTGTTACATGAGGAAATAATGTTGCAGATATGGCAAATGAAGTACAATATACATATTTATATACACATGTATAACTGAAAGAATGGACAGTTCAATTTAGAACCGGTACGGTATAGTAACATGATATGACATACATGGAATATAGATATTGATAATGCAAAGCAAACATAAATAAACATACATTTAATTCACAAGTTATTTTACTATTAACAGTTATACATATGCATCATTCACAAAAGAAACTGGAATTTAGAGAGTAAATGCGAATACTTCAACGTGTTAGTAAGCTTTGTAAAGTATGCAAAAAGTCCATATTTATTGATATCGAAAAATTAAATCAAGTAACATTCGATCAGTAGATTATAAAACCCGGTGTTATTCAGTTGTGATTAAACAGTAGTGTTTGATACTTACACGTGTTACCATTACTTTTCAATACTATCTCTCCTAGTCATGTCTTGTTGTAGCAACGTTAACCGTTTTCATATGGTCTAAGATGATACGAGGACGTGAACTCATCTCTCCTCCAAGAGAAGTTAAATACCACAGCCTACGATCATCTACTGTTTTTGTTTAGATTCCAGGCTCCTTTGGAAATGAAGCCGGGTGACGTCTTACAATCATAATGTACTTTCACGTCAACCAGTAAAACGTGACGACCTTCAGCGGAGCGTCAACCTCCGACGAAATGTGCTTTGAATCTATTCCTTTCGGTTTGTGTATGTGGCTGGTCCTGTCCGCTATATGACCGGACTGAACTGGTAGACGAATGCCAAGTAAGATCATTTCTTGAGGATCAAGCGACAATAGCAGCAATATTTACAAAGGTAGGTACTTTATCATCTGTCTCTAGGAAATCTGTAATTTACCTCTGTCCTTCTTAAAACATCAAACACAGTAGGGAAATTGTAAGATTGTCCAATCTATGTCGTAATGGCTTCACTTAAAATCGTTTTTGCGGATGATATGTACACTATACTTTCTTACAAAATATAAGAAATTAGACAGAAAATAGTATAGTTGATACTTTATCGACTAAAACTTTATTTTCAGACTGTTGGATTGAATGTAAAGAGGTTATCAAAGAGATCCGGACTCAGTACAGGTGTCTTACTGGAAAGTTAGGGGAACACGTGCTCCTCCAGATTAGTAAATACATCACTGTCGAACAAATAATCAATTTCTTCTCCTGTGACGTAGAAATTCGTTGGAGGCGTCGGATCAAACGCTATGTGATCAATACGCACGCGTAACTGTTTCCTCTCTACACTTACCATTTATTTATTGTAACTCCATACTGACTTCAATTCAAAGGTCTGTTAAACAAATCTTTTCTAATATTATAAATAGCCATTTCTTGATTTCAGAAACATATTACCACTACAATCAATATATGGCGTTCAAGATGTGTAAAGAAACCAGACGCTTCGGAATGCTTTTCCTATTCATATGATCTACCTATCCTGGTGTCTACTGTCAAATCCAGATCAGCCACGATCTCATAGTGAACACGACTTCTAATAGACTATCATGAGAAACACTGAAACATCATAACACAGAGAAACACGTTTCCTTTATCAAAGATCCACTATTGCATCGACTCGTCCTCATTTACTTCTTATCATTTTCTCTCTCTATTTTATCAGTCCACACATACAATTATAAGGGAGGACAAAATAAAAACGAAACAAATTGGTACCTGCATACAAGCTTTTATTTGTAAACATATTTCATATAACACTAAGAAAGTGTTTTTTCGTTTTTCTTAAAAACATTTAAACAATAGCGGGTAAACAAGGAGAGCCACAAAGTTAAAATATCGACATAGACTGTACACAAGTGAACTACATCTTAATAGTTGCTACAGTGTAATACTTGTGGCTATGCATTATAGAATCCTTAAAAAATAAATTAAGAACGACACATTTTAATTCATATTCATTTAACAACATTGATCATGTAAAGAGAACCTCGTTTCTCCAGCAATCATTGTTCCCCATTTAAAGTGGCAAGGTATTTCAGTGGCTGGACTATTGGACAATATATAGAAAAAGAGGGCACTGTCCCCACAATACCCATGCTTAGGATGAACACCATGTTATCATGAGTGGATTTAAAAACTGTTATGCTAAACTGTTCCAAGGCTTTTCAATTTTATCAGATTCACTGGGGATTTCGATCATATAAATAGAAGTAACACATGTATTTCTGTACATCGGCAACAATTTTGAAGTAAAAAATATTATTGTCTTTCATTAGTACCAATACCATCTGTATTACATACACTAGGATAGTGATGTCATATTAAGTTGCTGTCATATTAAAGCACCATTGAATTAGAAAATTTCATGAAGATCCATCCAGTATTTCAAAAAAATATCAAAATCCAAGATGGCGGCCTGTTGGCCATCTTGTTTTAAAGTATACATGCCCTAATAGTAACAGGCACTACTAGACAGCTTGATAGAGACCAAATAGGGATAAAATCCGTTAATCTCTATGGTATGGTATGGTTTTACCTCTATTTTCCCTATTTGGCCCTGGGGGTCACACCTACCATTAATACAAAATTGAGTGCCCTTGGCTTAAGGATACTCCAGACCAAATAAGGATAAAATCCCTTAATCCCTACGGTAGTAGAAGGATTTTAAAGGTTTTACCTCTACTTCCCCTAGTCGGCCTCGTCCCTCTACCCCGAGGGGGGGCAACACCCATACCTGCTAAATGACCCGCATGTTGTGGGTGACAACCGCAAAAATTAACCTATCACCCGCAACCAACTTGACCTGCGGATCATACAAATCTTCCGCATTTCCTCCACATAGCCCGGAATCACCCGCCTCCGCGCTCGTATCAATGGCAAATCATGATTATTTTAATTGACCAAAATCTGCATGATAAAGCTTCCCGATAACGATCGCAAGATTGCTTTAAGATTTTTTGCAGTCTCACAAATTTGAGTGTACCAAGATATTATATCAATATTATAAATACCTGTATTTAACTTTAAATGCATATTTCATTTTTTATTTATTTTCTCCAGTTTCCAACCTGCAGGCAGTCAGATTCCCAATGTAGTACATACAGATGAGGGAAAGAAATAGATAGGGGAGCTTCTAGAGGAGTCCATGCTCCCAGTATGTTCTACAATTACTCAAACTACCTGTATCTGTCATGACCCCCATTTGGAGATTCAGGGGTTAGCAGGTATGCACACCCTCCGATTATACAAAATTGAGCTCCCTTGGCCTAAGGATGCTCCACATCAAATGAAGTCAAAATCTACTTGGCAATTAAGGACAAGTAGTGTTTTCAAGGAACAGTTAGTTGACGGACGTACGGACAAACGGCATGACGGACGGACGACAGACGATTGACACTGCGGTATGGTATAAGCTCACCATGGTCCTTTGGACTAGGTGAGTTAAATATACCAGAGTAGTATAAGGACAAAGTTGGTACTAAAGTTTATTGTTCTGTGACTGAACACAGGAAATCATAGGATGGTGTCTTGACAAAGTATTTGGTCTGAACGATGTACCAGTATCCAGTTACATACCAGCCATGCTGGATACCGGGAAACAGGATAAGTAGGTGCTTGACTAAAGAGGCACAACTTTTATCTTTATATTTTGGGGGGAAATTTAATCCCATCTACCTTGCAAAATTAAAAATAAAGAGTAAAGTAGTACCACATCTATAGACTCTTTCAAATGCACTTCTATATATCATGTAGTAAAACACTGTTGGCTCTGCCACTTCATATTGCACTTGTTCTGCTGAATAATAAATAAGTCAGATCAACTTAAATCCAGTAGAGTAAATATGGCTCCATCATGCTGGTCACTTCTTGGCAAGTTTTGCCATTTCTAATTTAGTTATGATTTCATCCCATTGTACAAACTGCTTGGACACCATAGAAACCTGAAAGATGGTTGGTTAAGGACAAATATGAACAATAGGTCCAAAGGACCTGTATTAATCATCCAAAAAACTTCAAAGGGATATATAATAATTCAGTCTGAATATTTACAGGAAGCTTTTGTTATCATATTTTATCTTAAAAGTTCTTTTAATAGAATATAAAGGATATCTCATGGTTTCCTGTTGAACCATATAGAATTCACGAGAATGGCAGAATATAAATATTTATATTAAGTGTAAATATCAGTATTTTCTGCAATAAAATTTTCTATCTGATTTCATTGTTTTAAAAAGCTACATGCCTTTTGGGCAGTTAAGCCAACAATAAAACAAGTGCCAACCCTTGAAGTAAATATAACTGCATTTCCTAAGAATTTGAAAATCCATACCACAGAATTCTATATCCAATGTCAGGTATAAAGTTAACAGTACAAGCTCTATAAAGGATACAATATTGTTGTAGGCAGAGAGAATATTCCTCACTTCATCTGTTACTTCTGCAGTCTTGTCCTGTGTTGAAAAAAAACCCATCAAAGTAAACAAGAAAATCTTTAAACTTGAGTTGATATACTAATAAGCTTGTACATTTCAACATGTTTTAGCCAGTTTTTTTCAAGTTTGAATGTCCATGATTTTTTTTTATATAATATCGATTGTTTTTCACTACAGTAAAAGTCAATTTAAAGCTTCCCATTTCATTGAGTACCAATAATTTTAAGGTCCCTATTCAATCCTCCAATCCTTCTGATTGTTACCAAGAAAATAATTCCCCTTTTTTCATTTTGTCTAATATCTTCCTTGATATATCACCAAGCCCCTTTATAACGCCACCTTCAGTGAACAAATGTTGGCAGTATAAAATTATTTTACTGCAGAAATATTCTGCCTGCCATTGTCATTACCTGTTGACTCAGTTGAGCCTGGCTAAGTTCCTGGAATTTAGTTGTATTCTTTGGTAGTGCTTCAAATACAGAAATAGCAGGTATTTATCAAAAATATGAAATATTATGAACAATTTTCCAGCTTGCTTTATTATGATAATAGGCATTGGATCAATGCACAAGAAACTTAGTCTGATTAAGTTTGTAATTTAGAACAAGAATACTGCGGGACAGAGCCATACATGCCGTCCCATGCCAAACTGACATACTTAAAATCACTCTGATGCATTATTGTATTTAAATCTACGAAACCATTAAATAGTAACTACATTTGTAGTCTATTACCATCAATCTTAATTACTTCTGGGATGTGGTAAATACAGAAAATGTGCGAGCGGTAATCAATTATAAAACTGGAACCGATTCCCATTGCTATTGTTATCGTGTGTATATATCAATGATTTCCTGCAAGTTTCATGTTATGACCTTGGGACTAGTAAGTCGCCCAGACTGTGGCCAAACTCCTAGGTAGCATAATTGTGTTCAACTTTTTTATGCCCAGCAAGTAGCTTTAAGTTCATGTATAGGGTGGGGATCTCGACAATTTCCAAGTTATGACCCATGGATTAAGTTCCCAGAGGCAAAAAGTACCTCAGGGGTAATCATGGTAATACCACTGCTTTTGTTACCTCGTGTCTAGCAATTGAATATAATATATGCCAGGCCATGGCAGAAGTTTGCTTGACTCTTTTTCAAACAAAGGCACAACTTCCAGTTTAACTTATGATCATTTGTACGTACCTTTCATATATTCACTGTTTATACAATCCTGAATAGATTCCATCGTTTCCAGGCGAGCAGTCTGCTGGCGAATAAAATCTTCATCTGGAAAAAAACCCAGTGATTTAGAAGTTCCACAGAAGTTCTGGTTGGTGACCATGTTTATCTTAATGCTCACATTTGTTTGTTTTTAAAACTTTCAAAAGCTGTTACTTCAGAGTGTCTTTTAAAAATTCTCTAAACTGTAAAAATGGAATTAACCGTGTACAACCAGTATCTTTAACCCTTTCACCCCTATGTAAGTAACTTTAGTAGACTTTACCACAGAAATATCCGGATGAGTCCACTTTGGTCTAAAGTAGAGAAGGGTTAACATCTATAACCAGTAATCTTGCAGACAACACTGTATCATAATATGTCTTGACAAGAAGAGTGTCTACAAGTGTGTTTTTTTTGTCAATTGAAACACCCAAATATCAAATTACTGTCAGAGATTATGAAAATTTAAGTTTGTATTTGGCATCATAAAAACATAAAAAACCACCAACATATTCAAAGAGTGATGATGTGATACAGACCTGCCATAATGGTGTCGGCTTTTGCAGAGTCTGACACAGTCATCTCATCTGTATAAGATGGGTCAAGGTACTGCTGGATGTCTGCTACTGTAACACAGCAAAACAGTGGAATAAAGTCAATACATGAACAGTTTCCACATACATCAACATGTACACATCAGAAATATATTGTCTTTCATTCTTTTTTTTGTCATACTGCTATCTAAAAGTGTTTCTTCGATGTTTAAATAGTAAAGAAATTCAGACACTAGCTGCTATTTCATCTTGTATACTGTTTCAATTAAATAAAACCCACAATTTAATAGTTTTTCCAAATTTTCAGATACATAACTTCAGTACTACTCTAGGGCTTGAAATATGTCGCATCACATGCACAAATCCTCATTATTCCAAACAAGAGGCCCATGGGCCTTAACGGTCACCCGAGTCCTACAGTATTTATTTTTGTTGTTGAAATATGTACCAATTTGAGTAAAAAATAGTTAAGTATAATGTTAACTTAACTTTTTCAGGACCATGAGCTGATCATTCCTAGACCGATTTTCAGTGAGATCGGCCTATCAGAACTTGTTTTTAAGTTTGAAATAGGTATTTACAAAATAACGGCCATGGCAGCCAAATTGTATTTCTGATTGACCCGAAAAATAACAACACTTTGTCAGGACCATGATTCGATCATTCCTACAAAGTTTCAGTTCAATCGGCCAAGTAGAACTTTACTTTAAGTTTGAAATAGTTTTTCAAAATGGCGGCTGTGGCGGCCATATTGAATTTCTGATCAACCCGAAAAATAACAACAGTTTGTCAGGACCATGAGTCGATCATTCCTACAAAGTTTCAGTTCAATCGGCCTAGCAGAACTTGACTTTAAGTTTGAAATATTTTTTCAAAATGGCGGCCACGGCGGCCATATTGGATTTCTGATTGACCTGAAAAATAACAACACTTTGTCAGGACCATGAGTCGATCATTCCTACCAACTTTCAGTTCAATCGCCCCAGTAGAACTTGACTTTAAGTTTGAAATAGTTTTTCAAAATGGCGGCCGTGGTGGCCATATTGGATTTCTGATTCAAACTTGTCTTGGCATTATCCAGCTATCTCAAAACGTAGCCTTTTTTTCTTGGAACAAAGAATGGCTTTAACTTACATATATGGAGGGTCCAGTATTATTCCTGTACTTACATTTACTATAGGTCTGTGATATACGCTTTTTACCCTGAACTGCAGCATTGGTCTTTGTCTGGACATTGTGTATGCTATCAATGCACTGAAAATCAAAACAAAATGGAAAATTAGGTCACCTTGGAATGATGTTGTTACACATATCACACAACCATATAAAGTATCAATTGGAAAATTTCCCAAAAATAAAATCAGTATAAATCTGTTCTTACTTGTAGGATGATTGTAACAATACCAAATGGCAGGCAGGCAGACTTTTACTGAGGCATGTATAAAGTAACAGTGAACTGTATATATCACTACAATTCTACAGCATCCAAACACTATTGTACCAGCACAAACTTTGATGTGTGTTATTCAATACTACAAATACACTGCTTTCCCAGCAATTCTCAACAAAGCACCGATGTTTCTTCCTAAAGGGCGCTTGCAGTGGTTATTTGGGCATCTTTTCACACTCAACATCTAAACATGATTTGCTATTGATGATCCAAATAAACAGACACAAATTGTGCAAATAGTATAAGCATAGTACAATTATGATATACATCTACATCATCACCTAATTCAGACCACCAGAAGTCTTCCTGTTGACACAATGTTTTCATTTGTTTCACATTAACAATATATGTCTAAAAATTAAATTCAACCATTATTTTTCCATTTACAGTTCATATTTTAATTTTTCCAAATACAGATATTATTTTTAATTTAATACAAATCTTCCTACACTATATCAAACAGCAAAGAAAGGTTAATTACCAGGCCATAGCCTACAATTCAAAGCAGCTTAATTATATCTCCATGTACGGAGCGTCATGGTGCAGAGAAAGCAGCTGGTGTGAAGTAGCACTAATGTAAGCTTTCATGTCTATATATACATGTACTGTAGGTAAACTGTACACACAGACTGTTTTTTTGCAGTTGGTTAAAGGAACTAAAAACTAGTTGTGCAGATGTATATGTTTACTTTTAGTGCCTGGGTGATAAAGAAAATCCACTCTTGGACTTTAGATCTATGGTGACCTTCTGATTTCTCACACGTTAATTTAATACACATCAGCAAAATTTAATTAGCCCTTATATATAAACTTTATATGTAATAAGGAGAAGGTAAATTTTCATAATATACCTCGAGAAAACAGACTTGGTCTGGCAGGTGACTCTATACCTTTTCACATCTAATAGGGGAATCTAACCCTTACTGCCTTGATGTAAGGCGAGTGCTTTATGAGCCAACCGACCATCCAGTCCTAATTTCCAACACTATATTTTGATGCACACACTGGCAAATTTACCTACCCCTTCATTAATTTCCAACATACAGACAAGATAAAGCCTGAAAGGTCTTACATATCAGATAGAACATACAGCCCTATCATACATACAAGATTAAACATACAGCACTAGCCCTATCTTACATACAAGATTAAACATACAGTGCTAGCCCTATCTTACATATAAGATTAAACCTACAGCACTATCTTACATATAAGATAGAACATACAGCCCTATCTTACATACAAGATTAAACCTACAGCCCTATCTTACATATCAGATGGAACATACAGCCCTATCTTACATAAAAGATGGAAGCTACAGCCCTATCTTACATACAAGATAGAACATACAGCACTAGCCCTATCTTACATACAAGATTAAACATACAGCACTAGCCCTATCTTACAAGATTAAACCTACAGCACTAGCCCTATCTTACATATAAGATAGAACATACAACCCTATCTTACATATAAGATGGAACATACAGCCCTATCTTACATATAAGATAGAACACACAGCCCTATCTTACATATAAGATGGAACCTACAGCCCTATCTTACATACAAGATTAAACCTACATCCCTATCTTACATATAAGATAGAACATACAGCACTATCTTACATACAAGATTAAACATACAGCCCTATCTTACATATAAGATTAAACCTACATCCCTATCTTACATATCAGATGGAACCTACAGCTCTATCTTACATACAAGATTAAACCTACAGCCCTATCTTACATATAAGATTAAACCTACAGCCCTATCTATCATATAAGATGGAACCTACAGCCCTATCTTACATACAAGATTATACCTACAGCCCTATCTTACATATAAGATGGAACGTACAGCCCTATCTTACATATAAGATTAAACAAACAGCCCTATCTTACATATAAGTTAGAACATACAGCCCTATATATCTTACATACAAGATTAAACATACAGCCCTATCTTACATATAAGATGGAACCTACAGCCCTATCTTACATACAAGATTAAACATACAGCGCTAGCCCTATCTTACATATAAGATAGAACATACAGCCCTATCTTACATATAAGATTAACCCTACAGCCCTATCTTACATATAAGATTAAACATTCAGCGCTAGCCCTATCTTACATATAAGATAGAACATACCGCCCTATCTAACATACAAGATTAAACATACAGCCCTATCTTACATATAAGATGGAACCTACAGCCCTATCTTACATACAAGATTAAACCTACAGCCCTATCTTACATACAAGATTAAACCTACTGCCCTATCTTACATATAAGATTAAACATACAGTGCTAGCCCTATCTTACATATAAGATAGAACATACTGCCCTATCTAACATACAAGATTAAACATACAGCCCTATCTTACATATAAGATAGAACATACAGCCCTATCTTACATATAAGATTAACCCTACAGCCCTATCTTACATATAAGATTAAACATACAGCGCTAGCCCTATCTTACATATAAGATAGAACATACCGCCCTATCTAACATATAAGATTAAACCTACAGCCCTATCTTACAAACAAGATTAAACCTACAGCCCTATCTTACATTTAAGATAGAACATACCGCCCTATCTTACATACAAGATTAAACATACAGCTCTATCTTACATATAAGATGGAACCTACAGCCCTATCTTACATATAAGATGGAACCTACAGCCCTATCTTACATACAAGATTAAACCTACAGCCCTATCTTACATACAAGATTAAACATACAGCCCTATCTTACATATAAATTGGAACCTACAGCCCTATCTTACATACAAGATTAAACCTACAGCCCTATCTTACATATAAGATGGAACCTACAGCCCAATCTTACATACAAGATTAAATCTACAGCCCTATCTTACATATAAGATTAAACCTACAGCCCTATCTTACATATAAGATTAAACATACACCGCTAGCCCTATCTTACATATAAGAAAGAACATACAGCCCTATCTTACATACAAGATTAAACATACAGCCCTATCTTACACCTACAGCCCTATCATACATACAAGATTAAATCTACAGCCCTATCTTAATTATAAGATGGAACATACAGCCCTATCTAGCCCTATCTTACATTTAAGATAGAACATACCGCCCTATCTTACATACTAGATTAAACCTACAGCCCCATCTTACATATAAGATGGAACCTACAGCCCTATCTTACATATAAGATAGAACCTACAGCCCTATCTTACATACAAGATTAAACATACCGCTCTATCTTACATATAAGATGGAACCTACAGCCCTATCTTACATACAAGATTAAACCTACAGCCCTATCTTACATATAAGCTGGAACCTACAGCCCAATCTTACATACAAGATTAAATCTACAGCCCTATCTTACAAATAAGATTAAACATACAGCCCTTTCTTACATATAAGTTAGAACATACAGCCCTATCTTACATACAAGATTAAACATACAGCCCTATCTTATATATAAGATGGAACCTACAGCCCTATCTAACATATAAGATGCAACCTACAGCCCTATCTTACATACAAGATTAAACCTACAGCCCTATCTTACATATAAGATGGAACATACAGCCCTATCTTACATATAAGATAGAACATACAGCCCTATCTTACATACAAGATTAAGCCTACAGCCCTATCTTTCATGTAAGATGGAATATACAGCCCTATCTTACATATCAGATGGAACATACAGCCCTATCTTACATATAAGATGGAACCTACAGCCCTATCTTAATTATAAGATGGAACATACAGCCCAGCTATCTTATATACAAGATTAAACCTACAGTGCTATCTTACATATAAGATGGAACCTAAAGCCCTATCTTACATATAAGATTAAACCTACAGCCCTATCTTACATATACGATGGAACATACAGCCCTATCTTATATACAAGATTTAACCTACAGCCCTGTCTATGTGGTCAATAAGCACAGGTACAACCATCGTACATCCAGTGTGTCAGAAATGTTGGACCATCTAAAGCTGCGCCCTCTAGCAGATAGACGTAGAGATGCTCGTCTGACCATGCTTCATAAAATTGTAAACCAGAAAGTCGCTATCGTAAAATCAGACAGATTAATTCCTAAAGTTAGAAAATCCCGAACAAACCTCCAGTTTTCATATCAAATTCCCAACTCAAAAACCCAGACCAGAAAGGCATCATTCTTCCCTAGAACTATACCCGAGTGGAATAAACTCCCACCTGACATTATTTCGAGCCCCACAACAGAATTACTCAAATCAGCCCTCTACCGTCACCTTTCAAACGCAAATTAGACCATCTCGTATCTTTTAAAAACAATCTCTTTCCATGTTTCACTCCTCGTCTGACATTTTATCTTCAACTTCAGTACCATTTAGAAGTAGAAACTATCTTGCATACAATATTAAACCTACAGCCCTATCTAATATATAAGATCGAACCTACAGCCCTATCTTACATATAAGATGGAACATACAGCCCTATCTTATATACAATATTAAACCTAGTGCTATCTTACATATAAGATGGAACCTAAAGCCCAATCATACATATAAGATTAAACCTACAGCCCTATCTTACATATACGATGGAACATACAGCCCTATGTTACATATCAGATGGAACCTACAGCCCTATCTTATATACAAGATTAAACCTATAGCCCGATCTTACATACAAGATTAAACCTACAGCCCTATCTTACATATAAGATGGAACATACAGCCCTATCTTGCATATATGATAGAACATACAGCCCTATCTTATATACAAGATTAAAATTACAGCCATATCTTACATATAAGATGGAACATACAGCCCTATCTTACATACAAGATTAAACCTACAGCCCTATCTAACATACAAGATTAAACCTACAGCACTATCTTACATATAAGATGGAACATACAGCCCTATCTTACATACAAGATTAAACTTACAGCCCTATCTTATATAGAAGATTAAACTTACAGCCCTATCTTACATATAAGATAGAACATGTACAAATACAAAACAGGAAAGCTGCAGCCCTATCTTACATCCAGTCTAATAATCTACCATGTAGTAGTATTACTCTTTCATTTTGGTGGTGAAACTCTTTAACAGGGAATCCGGAGGAACTTAATTATGTTTCAGTAACACCAATAATGCAGAATTTTGTAACAAATGAATTCTTGAGAATAAGCTAATAGAGATGAAGATCAGCCAGTGATGTAGGATAACTAGTGTTAGTATTAATGAGTGTGGTACTTAAACAAACCAACCACCATCAAATTTAACCACTCCAATCTCTAATATTGTAAAAATGTGCGAAATCTCTCCCATGAAAAAAAAAATACAAAATAGATACAAATATATGTTGACATGATTACAAAATCGATGTTGAAGGAGGAGTGTGACATTTAGATACCTGCTAGCTGCTTGTACAATGTTTCAGTGTACTAATTCTAACTGTTATAAAAAAGGTTTATTTTCCCCCGGTTTCCCATATATGATAATATGTTATTTTATATGGATTTGCATGATTTTAATTAAAATATTCATTTGAATGGATACTTTTATTACAATGTTGTACTAGTTTTTAATTCTGCATACCTAGTATTTAATATCACCAATTACTGATTTTACAATGTGTGAATACTGTTGAAATCAGATCCTTGTTCAGTATGAATCACTGTGCAAATTAAGGCCAACCATATGTAGAGTATCATAATTTCCAGGTAAGATCTAATAGAGACTGATGTACCAGCATATTGTTGTCAACACATACAGGTTAGTCTGATTAATGAGTTAGTAAGAATGAGTAACCAAACACCTAACACTATTTCAAATTCATGATCCAGAAAATAAAGTTTTTTCAGTTGTTCAATTATTTCTTTTAAGTCACATTTATTATTAGCTGAGAATGGTATTATCTGGATTATGAATTCATTACTGTACTTTAAAAAAGGTTGTCACTGTGTCTGAGCCCTGAGCACAGATTGTATGTATTCAGAATCAGTGTCCACGACACATTTCTTGGTCATATTTAACTTTCCATTGATTAATAAAAAAAAAAATCATATAGAAAAATAACGAGAAATTATTTTAAAAGAGACTTGGAGTAAAAAATTTACTTGGTATAGTGCTGGAGTATCGATATCAGAAACAGCTAGAGATGAGAACAGATCAGTCAAAAACAATGCTCACCGAATATCACACAAAACACAAGCTATCCCTTACCAACTCCAACAATCCGACAATATTCGTTAAAGGATTTGAGACATAAAAACAGTCCATACAACCTTGAAGTGTTCAACCACAATTACAATAAACATCAACCAAGCTCTTAATATCAGATGGTCACAGCGAACAAACATCATCAGTACTAGAGGTTGATACAGAACAGGACCAGGTGGAGTAACATCGTCAGTACTAGAGGTTGATACAGAACAGGACCAGGAGGAGTAACATCGTCAGTACTAGAGGTTGATACAGAACAGGACCAGGAGGAGTAACATCGTCAGTACTAGAGGTTGATACAGAACAGGACCAGGAGGAATAACATCATCAGTACTAGAGGTTGATACAGATCAGGACCAGGAGGAGTAACATCATCAGTACTAGAGGTTGATACACAACAGGACCAGGTGGAGTAACATCGTCAGTACTAGAGGTTGATACAGAACAGGACCAGGCGGAATAACATCATCAGTACTAGAGGTTGATACAGATCAGGACCAGGTGGAGAAACATCATCAGTACTAGAGGTTGATACAGAACAGGACCAGGTGGAATACCATCATCAGTACTAGAGGTTGATACAGAACAGGACCAGGTGGAGTAACATCGTCAGTACTAGAGGTTGATACAGAACAGGACCAGGAAGAGTAACATCATCAGTACTAGAAGTTGATATAGAACAGGACCAGGTGGATTAACATCATCAGTACTAGAGGTTGATACAGAACAGGACCAGGTGGAGAAACATCAACAGTACTACAGGTTGATACAGAACAGGACCAGGTGGAGGATTGAAATTGTAAAAGGGGAAATAACTCCTCTAAAAATATAGGAATCAAATAGTGATTATGTTTATAATTTAACTATACTTAGAAAGCAGTGAACCACACTTCAAATGCAAAAAGATAATTATACCAGCAGTATATATACAAACCATTACCATAAAATCATAATATGTAAAGCCAAAAGTAACACAGGGATTTGGGACATAATTCACAGCTCACATATAGTGAACTAATTTCTGTGGTCCTCCAGGGATTTGTTATCGATGCATTTTACTGCATGTCTTTAAATTCACCATGATTACATAAAATTAGTTTTTATACAGTTGTAATATGTGTAAAATTGGACACTGATCACATTTGAATACATGTGCTGAGCTAGAGTGTTAGTGCATGTATGTCAACCATATATGAACACTTGTGTGTGGCCAAAAACGGCTGTGTTACCTCTTCTCTTTGCTTGCAACCCTGTATTTAGAAATGTCAAAATACAAAGCAAATATTAGTTTTTACAACAAAATAAATAACTTGCACAATCAATACAAATAGAACATATAATTTATACATCATTCATTGTACACAGTAGGAACACACATGTAACAAATTTAATGCTGTGTCATGTAAGGCTAGATGCAGGGCAAAAGGAATTAAGACAGGTTACAAAACCAATACAATACCAAAAGCATTAAGTACAATTATTTAAGCATTTCACAGCTTTTAGATGGCAACTAAAATGTGGGGGTCATTTGTCATCACGCAGTGATTCCCAAATGTAGGAAGACTGATACCTTGCAATAATATTTTATGTCATGTTTGCAAGATCTATATTGCCTGCAAGTTTTCTCAGCATTTAGCATACATTTGCAGTTACAGAAAATACTGCCAACACTGATTAACTTCAAGGCAGTAAATTGCATGCATGTTAATGCCAGTCTTTCTTCTACAGAACAGTATTTCAACATTTAAGGTGGCTCCACACTTTCGTAATTAACCAGCGAAACTCGTTGAAACTTTCATATAATGGTTATGCAACTATGTAGAGTTGATTTTATGAAAATCTAAACACTCCGATAGTTAGGGGACTTTTTTGGAAAAAATACCAAAAAATTGAATTTTCGTCAATTTTAATATTTTCCGGTTTTTTTTGGGTGTGACATTGTTCGGAACAATAACAACAATAATAAAATGAAAAGAAGCATTTCTAATTAACCCTACAAATATTTTATTTATCGCAAAATATGTAACACATGTTACACAAAGTGTTTTTTATTGAATTTGAACGGATAAAAGTTATTATCTACAAGCTAAAAGCCAACAGGACACAAAGATCTATACATATAGAATGGGAAATTGAACAAAATATACACAATGGCTTTATAATTAATTTATTTTACATTTTACAATCACTTCGATCCGGGTAAGAGTTATCTTCCTTGAAAAAAATCGGAACTTTTTGCAGAGGGGTGACATTTACACAATGACAGTTGTCCCTGTTTACATATAACAAAAATGATGGAAATAAATCAAAAATATGATATCAAAATTATCAATTTATTGTTCTTTAATGGAACCAAATTACCCTCAGTCATGTACACTTTGGACATCATTCCACAGTCCGCTAACTCACGGTATATTTATAATTACATGTCAGGTACATATGTGACCAGAGGCTATCGCATGGTATGCCGTTCTCACGTGCACTCACACATGCATTTCATAGGTATCTTGATATTTTACAAAACATTATTTTCACAGAGTAAGTAGACTACATTTGTAAACACGATTTAATCGACAGAGCGAAACTCCCTCAACAGCGAAAATCGTAACGACCTCGAGCTTATGAACTCGTGTTGCACATGTGAGGTCGGTACGTCCGCATTCCATGCGTTTCCTATATGACCTTCTTGAGGTCGTTTGGTCTCATGTCACTATCTTCCCGTGAGTCTGTTTATGTCTATGAATTTGAAAGCTTTATTCCTGAAATACGTGTGATTATACATTTCCCGGTAAAATCTCGATATCGGGTGTTGACATATCATCGGCACGCACGTGTACTATTGTTTACCAGGGGCCTGTTCGTTTATGCGGAGCAACCGGTTTGACCGTTTATAAATGTAACAATTTCGGGTATAAATCCTGGCGGACCTGCAAATGTGTATGCAGGCCTTGCAAGGCTTTCTCAAGGCTCGCCTGAAAGCAGCATCAGATTACTAGGTCCGACCTTATTTAATAAACGAACAACAGTGGTCCGATCGGTTTGACCGTTTAAACGAAAACGGCCAAGGTGTAACTATAATTTGCACAACGACATTGAATGCCCGATACGCAATACGGAAATGACGACACGGTGTACATGCACATTTCGATCAAGATAATTGAGTCCGAGCTGTACTTTTTCCGGAAGTACGTCACGAAAATGGACGCTGATGACGATGTGTGGAGCCACCTTAAGAGGAAATATTGAAAAAGTATAACATCCAATGTCTGCTTTTCCTGCTGCAAGGTCTTGAAATTCATCCATCTATTTGTATCTACCGGTAGGTATGAAACACCATTCATATCAAATAAATGCATCCCAACTCCATGCATTTCAACTATATTTCTAAAAATTAATGTTCAATTTTTTTATAAACACTAACAGTTTCAAGTATTCAGTTTGCAAATGACAGCCATCTGAAAACAATACTGACATTTTAAGTTATTTTTCAACTTGCAATTTCTAAAATATGCGTGGCAGATTTTGATTGTACAAGGAATATGCCTTAGCTCAGTAGTAGAGCGTCGGACTAGATACCTAGAGATTGCAGATTCCATCCCTGGTGGAAACACACTATAACTATTGTAGTCTGTTTAACCATCATCAAAACAGAGTGTGCCTAATGCTTAGATTCATGCACTTGGTCTTGTTTACATTGGTTGGATGACAAGCCTAGATCTAGAGTGCATCACAAAATATTGCCATACAGAACATGTATTATAATGCATATGCATATAATGTCACAAGATTATCTTTTTTAATTTTCAGAATATGGACCTTACTTTCAGGTCTAAATGTGTTATCAAAACATTCAAACTGAATTATTGATCATATATATGAACCGATGATTCAACAGGTTCTGACCACTTTTTATTTGGGCTGTTATACCAGGTTGAGTACAACGGTGCATATGTAATAATCTTGCGTTTGGGTAACAGTTACCCATTTGCAGTAACAATTTTATTACTAAGATGGGGAATAAAGTGAAATAAATACACATACAGTTCTTTTAAACAGTTGGAGTATAAAAAGGGCGTTTTTCTTTTAGCTAAATCCAATATTTAACACACTGTTAAGTGTGTGAAGTACATTTATTCACAAAAAGTTATCAATTCTGATGTCTAACATTTTGTAAAAATGACACCTCATATCACTGACTTTGCTCTCCATCGACTTCAGTGTGTAGTCAATGGGATCCTTCCAGTGCAAATGTGACAGGTGTGCATGATTTTTTTCAGTGTGCTATTTATAGCTGCTATACAACACACTTTAAGCAATGGAGGTGATATACTTTGTCATTTTCCCAAAGATTTAGACAACTGAATTAGCATATTTTTGTGCACAATTGTACCTCATTGTATTTTTTATTGGATTGTGCTGCCTTTTTTTGCTTCAGGCGTTTAAAAGAACTTTGTGTTTTTATTTCACTTTATTCCCCATCACAGTAATAAAATTGTTACTCAAATGGGTATAACTGTTACCAATATGCATGATTATTACCTACTCCTATAACATGAGAGGCCACTGGTCGCCTTTTTTCTATCGGATATGATTTTGCCGACTGCGACGCGGCGCCTGTCAAAAGTTTTTCGCCGTGTAAAAAACCTCTAACATTGTTGGAGTAGATTATTACCCATATGTGCCGTTGTGCCCAACCTGTTAGGATTTCTGTTAGACATTCTCATAATTTGAGAAATTAGAATTATATAGGCCTAGCATGCAACATATCATTTCTTATTATTATTGATAAAAGCCCTTGTCGATTTTGACGAGTATGCTGCAACATTGTCTAGAATTTAGAAACTGTTCTCCTTTTCAAAACCAATCAATACCACACTGTCATCCTCATAATTTATAATACAGTACAAAAAAGGAAAAGGAAACATGTGAAGAATATTTCTAGTGGTAAATGTTGATCTATAAACACCTTTGGATAGAGTGCGTCTTTATCTGAAGTCCCAAATACCAGACATTCTAGTAAAGTTATGCGATTTTCAAGCTGGTCCAGTTGATCGTCGGCCATGTCTGCTTAGTTGATGATCCACAGAGCAAATATTTATTGTCTTTAACAAAAATGAAGCACTAAAATATGTGTGTTAAAGTAATTTAGTCTACATAATGTTTATATATTAATCATAACACTGATTGAACAAATTAAGGATATACCAGAATTTGTCAAGGTAATAAATCTCGAGCGTATCATATTGACATGGGGAGGTAACTCTCATATTTCACAAGTTTAAAAGGGATAATATCAAAACCATTTTCAATATTTTGGTCAGAGAAGTGTACTATAGCCAGAGACGTATATATAATATATATAGGTTTCTGCTGAAACCAACTTTACACTAAATTCAGTAAACATTGTCAATCCTATACAACCTATATTAAAAAAAAATCATATCATATCTTTTACTCGACTATATTGGTATAATTATCTTAAAGAAAATCTCTGAGCATGTACATGTATACAAGCAATTTTATTTAGAGTCGTGTTTGTAATAATGCAACTCTAAATAAAAATTCTTGTATCTTGATAACGTGATATATATATATTTATCACATAATGTACGTATACTGTTATCCAGTGAATATTAACCCATAAAAAAGAGAATGTTTGTTTATTGATGTCATTATTAACCCATGTAATATGACAGCTTCAACTGTGACGTCACGCCTAGGACAAGTACATATGACGTCACAGGATTACGCACTGGAGTCGAAATGGCGGCTTTGTACATTTCAAGGTTGCATGAAAATTGCCGTTTTACAAGAATACATGCCACAAATCTTGGTTATGTGATAAAAACCATCGTACAATCGTTTTCATTTCATATGAAATTTATGAAACTCGTCACGAATTTTTCATTTTAGCTCGCCTATATTTATACGTCTCTGACAAAACTCACATTTTTCAAGAAGCAATATCAATCATGTATCAGTGACATTATATCAAATATCTAATATTTCAAAAATAATACATGCATTTGAATTTGTAGAATAAGCCGAGTGCTAAGTGGTGGTGGGGGTACGGTCACGTGCCAATTGCAGTTAGGAATAATCGGGAACACTTACATTGGCATCTGTAGACACAACTGAACAGTATAACGACCTTCGTAAATAAAATCAAAGTTCATCTCTCTGACATTCTTAGAAATAGTTTCCTCGTCCGATAGACAGCTTTGCATTCCACACAAAAACTGCATTGAAAAATTTGAGTTACTAATTCAAATAGGTATTTTAATGCACTGTCTACATATAATGTCAGTAACTATTATATATATATAGAAATACCATCGTGAGATTTTGCAAAAATTAATCCCGAAATAAAGTAATTTTCAAGTTCTATACGTGAATTCTTTGAAATTAACAAACACATATATATATATGTGTCAAATGGTCCAATTTCTGGGTCAACGGTTTGACATGGTTATAAAAATCCTACATTTCAACAACTACAGTAGATCTAGATTGTGGCGTGTCATAGAGAGTTAGATACCTGTAGAGCGCAGGGACCTGGGAATTTGTTACAGATATATTTGGACAAAGTCGATCTTAACCCCTAAAACAGGCAAAATTACTCTGAACACCTTAGTTTAGATCCTTAATATAGCTGTAACAAATTACCAGGCCCCTGTGCTGTAGAGCATGTCATTCACTAGCTGCGATATAGCGTAGCTTTCTCAAATGGCGACGAGAAAGAGGAGGCCGGTATAATATTAGTACTAGTCAATAGCAATAAAAAGCAGTAATTCTGCAATAAGTTTCGGATGAGTGCACATTTGTGTACCATTGCATGCATAAATATAACATATATAACATATATAACATAACATATATAACATATATACGTCTGTGATTTCACGTATGTTGCATGCTTTCAAAAGACATCACGTAAATGTTTCTTCAGTAAAATGACTTGATTGTCAATGAATGTGATCAATACCTTTTATTTATTTAAAAGCTGCGCTAGGTCAAGTTGATTGTCTGCATGAGTAATATTTTTATTTCGTTTGCCCAGTAAGAACTAAGATTCCCCTACACAACAGGAACATTTGCACAACTGCCTTTATTATTCGTATTATACAGGTCACTCAGTTTTAAACATGTGTACCAGTCTATTCTATGCATTAACTTAATTCTTCAATTCTCATTTTGTCTGCTACTGGCGTCAAAATTAGCTTGCTAGGTAGTTTTCAATGAAAGCTGATGGATACACCCTAACACAACTCTTTAAAATGCATTACCTATGCAAGACAACAAAGGAATTACTTTTAGAAAGAGAATGAAATGCAAAAATATGAAAAATATTCATCCGCCAAACCGAGACGTATACTTTACCATATCATTCCGATGTCCACATGTAAATAAAAAACGTGTATTAAATTTTCCAGTATTATAATTCCAGTTTCAAATGTGTTAAAAATAAATATTTAAAATAAAAATCTTAAGAATGTGTCGTTAATCATCCGTATTACATTCTACAAAGGTCAATTATTATTAAATAAAATGTAGAATAAAAATCTTTGAGATGATCCCCAAAAACTTCGGAAACGGAAATGGAAACAGAACTTGACGTCATCACAAGGACGTACACACGGCAGCAAGTCAAGAAGGCACGCAGTTTTGTGGGGAATTCCTTACAATTTTACTGCCTTACAGACTGGAAGCTGTTTGTTTTGGACTGCTTAAAGGTAAAATACATCTAATTCGAGACAATGAGTGAGTCTTTTGTTAACGAAAACGTCCCTGTCATTCATGAAGTACCGGCTGACGATGACAATTCACATCAACAGACGGTAGAAGAAGTAAACAACGTGGCTGCCTCTCCCTCCCTCGTGGCCCCGTTTCTTCGCGTTGAGCAAATCAGAGATGAAGACGGCACGAGCTCTGTGTACACGAGCGAGGAGGAGGGAGACGTGGACAGGGAAAAGTCCCCCGAGCCCGAGTTTCATTCTCCCACCGATGAATTACGTGACAAAATAATTAAACAGGTTGAATTCTACTTTTCTGATGCCAACATATTGAAGGATGCATTTTTGTTAAAACACGTCCGGAGAAATAGACAGGGCTATGTAAGCATCAAACTTATTACTTCTTTCAAGAAAGTGAAGTCTTTAACGAAAGATTATCGAGCTGTGGCGTACAGTTTGAGACAATCTGATCATCTTGAAGTGAATGATGAAGGCAAGAAGGTGAGACGGACAGACCCACTGCCTGAATATGATGAAACAACACCATCACGCTCTGTTGTTGCGGTTAATCTTCCCATGGAGGTGCCATCAATTGAAAATGTAGCTGAACTTTTTTCAAAGTGTGGTGAGGTTTCATTGATTCGTATCTTGCGCCCTGGCAAGAGTATACCACAGGATGTCAAAAAATATGCAGCAAAACATGGTGAAATAGGTACCACTGTCTGTTGTGTTGTAGAATTTGAAAAACATGAGTCTGCTAAACTTGCCTGTGATACAATGACAGATACTGAGGATTGGAGGAAAGGTATGCGAGTCATGCTTCTTGCTCCTCAAAAAAGGAAAGAAAAAAAGAAGGATAAAGAAGGAAATGAAGAAAACGAAGGCGAAGATGGTGAGGAAAATCATGAAAAGAAAAAGAAAAGAAGAGAAAGGAGGAAGAAAAACCGAGTTGACGAACTTGCACGTGAAAATGATTCATCTTATGCTAGTAGTGGGTCAGAAGGTGATATTCCCACTCCTGTAAAGCACACTATTGCACACCATCAAAAGTCGCTCAGTCCAAATCATTTGGACCCCAATAAATTAAGCCCATCAACCTCACCTCGTTCTAGTCCAAGATCTAGTCCACTGACAAGCCCAAGATCCCGTCGCAGAAATCAACATACTAAATCACCTCTGACACATGGAAGTCCTAGCAATAGTCCAAGGAACAGCCCTAGAAGCAGTCCAGAGATGAGCAGAAAGAATTATGATTACTCTTCAGGGGGAGATAGTACTCCTTCTAGTCCTTGGGTACAACGCAGACTTAAGGCTGCTCAAGAAATCAGTCCTCTGGCCAATCAAACAAGCCCTGGACGCAGTCCGAATGGGAAACACCACCTATTGGACATGGAAGGAGTGATGCGACAACCCAAAGGTCCAGATGGTACTCTCGGATTTCATCTTGGACGTGGTAAACCAAGGAGCAGCACATTTTCATAAAACATGAAATATGTACCGATAGGGGAGTAAAATAATTAGTTAATTATGCATTTATCATGAGGTCTTTTTGGCATAATTTCGTCAAGCAGCTTTCCATTAAATGAAGTGTAGTACATATGCCTAGATAATGTATTATAGTAATTGATGAAGTATTCTGTCAAGATTTTTTACGCCCTTACATGCTGTAAATTGAGTTCAAATATGAAATCTTGATACATTCAAGTTTTGTTAAGTTACACGGTATCTGCTGGTGCTAAAAGTGCACTTAAATATTTTGTTTTGAATTTGTTGCCAGTCTCAATATAAATGAAACATATTTTTGCTTCATGAAGCGTTTAGAGATCACATCGCCATCATATGTAAACTAGATTTAAACTGTGAAAATACTGAAGGAGAAAAAAGGAAATGATTCTCTCCATGGTGGAGTTTTACTTCAAATGTTGTTTGAGATTTTAAAACAGCTTTGTAAACACAGTCAGACTATTTCGCTATGTGCTGCATTTTCAAATGGACATTAAGGATCTCTGTTAGCCAACTGAGGTCCTAAATGTCACCCTGGTACAACGTAGTATTCGCTTCATACTACTTGGCTAGGGAGAATTTCTCTAACTCATTCAGTAGAGTGTAAGACTAGTAAGCCAGAGGTCTCATGTTCGACTCCTAGCGGAGGCATTGAAAAAATGATGACCTCTATTACGTTGGTGCCCACAGGTGGACCCGTAGAATAATGACCTCTGTTACATTGGCACCCAATGTAGGGCCCGTGAAATAAAAAGGAATCGTTATGACCCCTAGAAAACTTGGGACAGGTCTTTCCTTGAGGGGGAATATGTCATTCAATCTGGTACAAAAAACTAACCGCTTCCTACCGACTCGGCTAGGGAGAATTTCTCCTTAGCTCATGCGGTGGGGCGTAAGACTAGTAAAGCCAGCGATCATGGGTTTCGACTCCTGGTGGAGGCATTGAAAAAATAATGACCTCTGTTACACATACATATATATACAATGTACAGACCTCTTGATTTGGAAAAAAAATCCCAAAAAGAAAATTAGTTTCCGAGTCATTCCCAACATGGGCTTTTTCAATATTTTCACATGGACAATCCATGATAACAGATTGATCTTGCTACTGGAAGCCTAGGTGGTATAAAGTGGCAAATAGATTATAAGTTGTTTAAAACTATATTAAATACATATCTGCGATAAATCGTATGCCTGTTCCAAAAGAATGATGGACTTGACAACAGATTTATTAGTGACAATCTTATGATGTTACTTTATCAAAAGTCTAATATATACTGTACAATACTTTTGTAGGTTTATACAATTTATGTTATTGATCAGTTTTTATGTGAACCCTGTTTTTGTATCAAAGAAATGTCTGCAAGTGATCCAAACTATTTAACAGTTAAATTGTCTCCCTTTCCTTTGTGTTACCAAATGAATTGCTTGGGTTCCTTTTTTGAAAGGGCAAGCACTATCACTGTTGACCATTACTATAAGCCTGTTTATATTAAATCGACATGCATTGATATACATGCATTGAAGCTTACTGCCATTTTCATATTTCAGAACTTGTTAATCATTTATGAAAACAACTTTTTTCAATACTGTTAAACTTCATTATTTGAATTTTAATTTAAGTTAACAGATTTTTTTTTTGATTTTTTTTTTTGTATTAATATTGAGACCCTGCACAGATCTTTGTTACATATATTTTGACAACATTCCATTCTGAGATTGAAGGTTGTTTCCTGAGCTGTTCTCTAGGTATTCCTTTATACAGATTACCAAACGTGTAAAAATTCACTAGTCCAACACCAAACTACCAGATTTGAGATTCAGGCTTAGGGGGAAAAAAAATACACCACATGTATCAAAGTGATGAAATATTTTTCTTGCTTGATACTATGAAATAACAGTATTTTCCTGAACAAGTAGATTCAGAAATATTTGTACATCCCTAGATACCAAGTCATGTATCCAACTACCTCTCAAAAGTTAATAAATCTACAAAATGTACATGGTTGTTTACAGACTACACACACAACTCTGTGTGATGGACATTGTTACACACAACTCTGTGTGATGGACATTGTTACACACAACTCTGTGTGATGGACACAGTTACATTGTAACTCCTTCATTTGCCCACCATAAAAAAGAGAATGTTGGTTTATTGATGTCATTATTAAAAGATTGAACATATTCTTATAAAATCAGTCTATCAGGGTGGATGTACAAGTTATATTTGTCTTACTGGTAGTTAAATCATTCAACTTGTAGTTGTACCTTATACAAGAGCAAAAGATTGAGCTACCTCCCTTAGTTATAACTTTAAAACCTAGCTCTAGTGGTTTGTAATGATTTGAAAATTGAATTTGATCAGTATGACATCATTATTTCTTATAGAGGGGAGGGAAAAGATTCACTTTTAATCTAAAAAAACACATGTTTTGTTGCAACAGTGTTTTGGTATAGAAATAGGACACACATATATGTTGTATTAATACACTGTATATCAGTATGTAGACATATACGGCCACAGCTGCTTAAATGAACTTACCACTCTCCAATAGTAACATATATATACTAGCCTATAGCCAAAGTCAAACCTTTTTTGTCAAAATGTGTTTTATCCGCTTCCTGCGCTCAAAAAATTGTGTTTGGTAGATAGGCAAACTTTTTGGTCAAGGTCTCAAAAAAAATTGATGTTGATATCGGTATTTAATCTAAAGAAAAACATCGTTTGTCACAATTGAGGATGCCACACATTCTTTTTTTTTGTATTTTAAATTATGTTAAATATACAATGTATTGCAAGTCCTGAAAGTCAGCTACAAATAAGCTGTGATGTGGTTAAGTATTAATATTGTTTTGTATCTGCTTTGAAAATGTGTAAATTGATGCAGGATGCATATATAAAACCAAAGTTTCCTATTTTTGCACTTCTTTTTAACAAGTTCTTCAATCTGTTTTTATATTCTTTTCACAAAAATTGTACACCTAAAAATCAAATGTCTGACTTTCATGCAAAATTACTAATTATATAACTGAAATGTTTTGTCATTGATTCATGATTTTACTTTTTAAGTCCATTATTGTTTTTATTTGTTGATAAAGAATTTTTAGAGAGAAGATATTAACTGTTATTATTATTGTATGGATGTGTTTTGGATGTTATATAGCTATTTATAAACATTATGTATACTTAAAAATGGCTATTGATGGTGAGTGGCATTTTATCACTTGACATTGTGAGCCCGCTGGTTTACTGGGGTAGTTCTAATACAGGCCAATCTGCCACCATCAATGGGTGTATAGTGGGGCAACTAGTGGTCAGATTAACAAAACTACACCAGTAATGTAATCCAGGTGCGGTGGAACACTTAATATTTTGCAGACATAGACAGTGTCTTATTATAACAGGCTATATACAATTTTGTACATATTACTGTATATATTTGTTGGGTGGACAGCTGTCTACACTTACAATAGGTTGTTATATTAAAGGCTCAAATTCTGTACTATATATATATCTTTATATATACCGGTGCATTACGTTACCACCTTAATACATTGTCAAATTTTAGCATACTATTTACTTAATGCTGACTACAAGCAAGTCTTCTCAATGTAGTGGAACCGGACTAGGTCATTCACCAGTAACCAGGTAGCTCAATTGGTAGAGTGTCCACCTAGAGTTTGGAGGGTCCTAGATTCAAATCCTGGTCTTGCTGTGCATTTTTTGTTCTATTACATTACAGAAGACATACAAAGTTCTATAATATTTTAGATATATATTTAGCATTACTTATACTTAATTACTATAAAAACCTTGTTCAGTAAGAATTGATATTAAGGTCAGATGTTCAATTGGCTTACATGTACCTGTAGTTTCTTTCTACCCTTGGTAAATATGATCAAAGAGTGACACAATATTGCAGAAGAGTTTGCATACCAAGGTTGTTTGAACAAATAAGCATTTTGCACCAGAAGCAATGTCACCATTACTACAAATAGGTAAATCCTTGCCATGACTTATTTATGGTCAGTTTTCCATGAACCTTCTACAGAAGGTAAATTTGACTAAGGTGGTTTTAAACAAGTTGGCATTTCGGCATTATGCACCAAGGTCAGGGTTATTGTTATATAATAAAACTCTTGTAATTGCTCTAGCTCCTTCATTTGTGGTTGGATTATACCACAAATAAATGTACCTGTAGATCTAGGCCTGTGCCATATTCTGTCTTATTGATACCCATCCCATCTGGTCACCTTTTATTCCTTTACCATAATTTACTGATTTAATTCAAAAAGTCTCTGTTGCTGGTTTTTTTTTTTATATAATTTGAGAAGGTTCTGTAGTTGTGCTAGTTGTCTCGAATTCTAATCCACACGATTCTTAACAAAATTAATACAGAAGATACTGTAAACATACATATTTTTGTTATAGTCTAATTTTTTAGCGTTTATCATGCTTAAAATTTGAACTGCATTATAATTATGCTAATTGAAGTTTCTTTATAGAGTTTTCTATTTTATATTGTGAATGTGCCAATTCATCAATGCAGTATTCTGTTAAAATTTGATAATTCACTAAAATTTGAGTCCACAAAAATTAGTACTTTTGCAGCTTTTGGAAATAACTTATTATTTATTAAGGTATATAATTTGTTTTCATAATATATATATAAGGTTGCTTAATTATACATTACCTGGTTGGTATGCATTTGTTTATGTTGGTCAGTGATCGTTTTTAGCTCACTTACCATAGAATATCTTGTGGGCTTACATAATGTATGCAATAGCATGTTGAGTCCGTTGTTGATTTTTTTATAAAAAGAAAAGAACTTTTTAAAATGTTTAATGTGTATTATACATAGCATTTACCTTGTTGAGATGAATGGCTATCAACTTTGTACAAAAACATTACCTTGACCGACTTTCAAGGTCACATTGGCCAGATATGTTATGAAATTCAGATTATTTCTTTCAAATATCTGTTAGTTCTTGTACTTCACCCGTAGATTGATGGTGTAATGAGCTACTAATCTGTTGGAATAAATGTCCTTTGCCCAGGTTGAAGGCCAAGAACGATCAATGATTAAGGTATAATATGTTAATGTTGGGCATGGAAGTAAACCTTGACTCACTATGAAGGTCACAGAGGGGATTCACAACACCATTCAATAACAAAGGGGCTATGAAGGCCGCTTGGGCCTCTTGTTATTTTATGAAGCATTACAACAATTTCAGACTTAAGTGCTTGGCTATTAAATGGTTATAATTTGATATATTAATTCTGATTCATGTATAGATATACTTATATCACTTTAACAAATTGTTCTACAATTGCATTTTGTGTTCATGTATTTTATATTGTGATTTACAAACCTCAGATACTTGGAGTATTAGATCTAATTGAGATATTTGACATAAGAATGTCAAATCTACCTTACTGCAACATATTTTCGAAAAAATGTACACAGTACAAAACAAGTAATTAAATGTCTTCTTTATGGGTTATTAGTCCCCTACCGGTGAAACCGGGTGGAGGGGACTATAGTTTTCCTCTCCGTCCGTCTGTGTACGTAGGCAACACCAATGTTTGTTAGCGCTCTAGCGGCTTCATTTCTTGAGGGATTTTGACAAGTTCAAGTTTCAGGGTTGTCAGGTCAAAGTCAAGGTCACCGTTACTATTTTTAAAAATCCTTGTCAGCGTTCTGGCGGCTTCATTCCTTGAGGGATTTTGATCAAACTGCACACAATTACAAAGGGCCATAATATCTCGAACAAGTTTGAGTTTCAGGGTTGTCGGGTCAAAGTCAAGGTCACCGTTACTATTTTTAGAAAATCCTTGTCAGCGCTCTAGTGGCTTCATTCCTTGAGGGATTTTGATCAAACTTCATACAATTACAAAGGACCATAATGTCTCAGACAAGTCGAGTTTCAGGGTTGTCGGGTCAAAGTCAAGGTCACCATTACTATTTTTAGAAAATCCTTGTCAGCGCTCTGGTGGCTTCATTCATTGAGGGATTTGATCAAACTTCACACAATTACAAAGGGCAATGATATCTCGGACAAGTTTGAGTTTCAGGGTTGTCGGGTCAAGGTCACCGATACTATTTTTAGAAAATCCTTGTCAGCGCTCTAGCGGCTTCATTCCTTGAGGGAATTTTTTAACACCATAGGGCACCATTTTTATAAATCAGCTGGGGACATGTATTGCTTTAGCAATACTCAGTAGGCTTGTTTTAACTGGCTTGATATAAGGGTTCTAAAATCTGAGCTATTTTGAGAAAAAAACTTGTTTATAAATGGTAGGTAGAACGGATAAAGTAGTGTACCTTTCAGCTGCCGTAAGGATTTTTGCTGAATCTCTTTATCTTTAGTTTATCTCAACAAATTTTCATGCTTTTCCATCATAGAAAAAAACAAGGTTTAAATTTAAGACTTTATCTACTTTGTTTAAAATACATTGTACTAAGTTGTTACAGATGTCAAATATGCATTTTATTTACAAGTTGTAAATTATTGATACACCTGCATTTAATGGTATTCTGCAATTCTATTACATTGTAAATTTTTTGCAATATATTATGTGATAATACTGTACAATATG